AGAATTTTTCAATGGCCTCGCTTATTTCCTTTCTGTCTCTGACGGTGACGTTTTCTCATTTTTTATTTCTCTGATTTTTGTTGTGCCGCTTGAGTTTTTTGCTTTGAGTACTTTCATGTTGCAGTTATCTTGTATTATATTTTTTTATTAGATTGTTATTATAGTTTCTATGATCGTTCCTAATTTCTTTCTTCACATTTTTGTTTAAACTTTTAAAGCTGTCCGAAGTTCGATCTGTTCTGTTTCGTCTTTCTTGGAGTAGTTTAATTGTATTAGGTTGGAGTTTAGATGTTTTGGCTGTTTTCGTGTTTGAGCATATTTTCTTAACCGATGTTGTTACAGTTACTTTTATTTTAGTGGCTAGTCCGTTTATATCCATTTGTTTCAGTGTCTCTATTGATTTTAGTCTTGTGCTTAGCTCTTTTTGATATTCCGTTTGTTTTTGAAACAGGACATCGGTGGTTGGGTATCGTTCTCGTTTAATAAGTTTGCTTCGTTCTACTCTCGTCTGTATTTTAATGTTCGCTCTAACCAATCTATGGTCACTCCCGGTATAGAATTTGTTTAGTACTGTCACGTCGGTGCATATGTTTTTCTTATTGGAGAGTATGTAGTGTATTTCGTTCTTAGTTTTCTTGTCTGGGCTGATCCATGTCCATTTACGTTGTTTAGATTTTTTAAAGAAAGTGTTGAGACAAAATAAATTTTCGTTGTTCAAGTAGTTGTACAACATCTCACCCCTTTCGTTCCTCTTGTCCAGCCCAAAGCGACCGATATATTGTGTGTCGCCGTCTTCTTTTGTACTAATTTTTGCATTAAAATCTTCTGTGATTATTACGAAGTGTGATTTTTCTTGGTTCCTTGCTGTTGTCAGATCCTCGTAGAATGATTCAGCTTTCTCGTCTGTTGAGTTTCTTGTCGGTGCATATCCATGTATTATCTGTAAGCTGTATCTGCTGTTTAAAGCGATGACAAGATATATGACTCTGTTTGATACAGCTTAGTACTTCGTTATTTTATAAGGAGTTCGTTTGTTTACTAGGAACGCTACACCGCCTATGTGATGATTTTCTACGGAGTTTTTCTGGTATAGTTGGTGACCAGATTTTAAGATGGTACATGCTTCTCCTGGTAAGCGAGTTTCGCACAGTCCAATTATATCCAATTTGATATTTGAGAGCTCTTGTTCTAGTTCGTCAAGGTGTTCTTGGGTCCTCATAGTTCTTATATTGTAAGTGGCTATACGAAGCAATGGTGGATACTCCTTCCTACATAGAGAAAGTAAACGACTTACTTAGGGATACATCCTGTTATAATACAATTTCTCGAGACCCCACTCCTAGAGTCGAACGCGAAATTTCCCATGCCATCAAACAATCCGATCTTTCCGATGATGTTAAGAAGTCCATAGTTCCAAAAAACTCCATCTGCCCCAGAATTTATGGTCTTCCGAAAATCCATAAAGATAACGTACCTCTTCGTCCCATTGTGACTACGATTAACTCTCCTACCTACAAACTCGCAAAGTACTTGTCCAATCAGTTTAAGACCTATACTGGTCGTACCTCTTCTTATGTCCGAAATTCCACACATTTCATCACCTTAATCTCCTCTCTCACAGTCGATCCCAAGACATTCTCGTCAGTTTCGATGTATCATCCCTATTTACCAATATCCCCATACATGACTCTCTAGTTGTTCTGCGAGATCACTTGACCAATGATAACAAGTCTTTGGTTTTGGCAGATCTTGCCGAAAAATGCCTCCTTTCAACATATTTTTCTTTTAGAGGCAATTTCTACAAACAAATATCTGGAACACCAATGGGTTCTCCCCTTTCCCCTGTCATTGCTGACATTTTCATGGAAGCCTTTGAGTCTTTAGCCCTAGAATCTTATGCCATGGTCAACATACCCTTTCTTCCTTCCTAGATCATCTTAACTCACAACATCCGAGTATAAAATTCACAATGGAAGTAGAAAATAATCGGTCCCTTCCCTTTCTCGATGTGTTAGTCACCTCCAAGCCCAATGGCCGATTGGGTCACTCTGTTTATAGAAAAAAGACTCACACGAATCGTTACCTACATGCTTCATCACACCACCATCCTGCCCAAAAGAATTCTGTGATCAACTCTCTCATCTATCGGGCCATTTCGATTTCTGAACCCGACAACCTTAGAGAAGAACTTGGCCATCTGCAAAAAACCCTTGTCGCCAATGGTTACTCCAAGTCCACAATTCAAAATATTACACACCGACATCTACATCCCCCTTTACACCCTAGGACAACAAATTCAGAATCTTCGGGTAATACTCCTGTGGCTTTTCTTCCGTATATTCGAAATGTCACTGATAGGATTGGCAAAATTCTTTCCAAAGAAGGTATCAGGACTACTTTTCGACCACCTAAGAAAATCTCACAATATCTACCCTCTCCTAAGGACCCATTACCGCCCCTATCTTCCTGTGGTATCTATTCTATTCCTTGTTCATGTGCACATGTGTATATTGGCGAAACTGGTCGTTCCGTCAAAACTCGGATTCAAGAGCATCAAAGATGCATTCGATCAGGTCTTTTCTCCCATTCTGCAGTTGCCGAACACTGCCAAGAAACCGGTCATTCCATATTGTTCGAAAAAACCCATATTATTTCTAAGAGCCCCTTCTTTTATTCCAGGAAAATCCGCGAATCTCTAGAGATCCGAAAAAATCCCCATAATATCAATCGAGAGGAAGGATACTACTTGTCTCCCATCTGGAATCTCAGTCTAGAGCCACCGTCCGGTCCCGCCACCACGATGCAGCCACATGATTGGCCAGCGCGCGCTTCTTGACGTTCGCGCCACGAAGTGTGCCGATTCGTCCCGACACGACAGGCACCGCGACTATAAATAGAGCGGTAGCGGAGTAATCGTCGGATTCACTCCCCGCCTCTCGACGCGTTAGTGTTCTGAGCTGTTGGACGTGAATCCCTGTCCTGGCATTTGGTTTTCACCTCTGGCTGCGTTGAGTAGTTGAGTTACTGTGACCAAATGCCCATCTTGGTAGTTAGTATTCGCCTCTGGTTGCGTTAAGTAACTGAGTTACCGTTGCTAACTACCCATCTTCCTGTTCTTTTGTTTTCTTCTTTTTTCTATTTCTTTGTTCTCCTGAAGAAGCTACATACAATTGTAGCGAAACGTCGAGATGAACCCACTTTTGGGTCACTCACAAATGACACGGTCCAAACCCGGAAGACGAATAAACTATAATTCAATGGTGGGTAGTTTTTCTTATTAGATTCAGTCGAATATTTGCCTCCCCCAGAATCCATAAGGCTGACTGATTGCTCAGTGTGAGATTCTGAGTGTATAACTCTACTCACCTGGGGTAATTTCGTATTGATACTCGACATCTTCAACTTGGGAGGTTTTAGCATATTTAAAACGCCACGCTTGCCGAGCGGGTTGGCGAGTGATTCTATACAATCCCTAAAATCAGGGCATTGCCACTTCCGCCGTCCACGCCGTACCGAAGGTATTCTTCTCCGCCGTGTCCCTGTTAAGGGACCCTAAGCAGGTACTAGTTTCCCGGGTCAGGAAACCCCTGAAATCTACGGAGGGCAGGTATTGATTCATTTTCCCTGATAGGACTATCCAGAGGAGTACCCGCTACCTACCCGCTACCTGTAGCTACCAGAAATTGTCAAGAAGCGTAAAACGTCTTATCTTGGACACATATTTAGACACGACAGGTATAATTTCATCATCATCATTTTGACTTTACAACCCTGTGTGGGTCCTAGCCTCCCGAAGAATTCTCTTCCAGTCGTCCCTATCCATCACATTCCTCCGCCAAGCACGTATTTCCATATTTCTCATATTTTGGTCTATGTTATCTAGGAATCTTGTCCTGGGTCTCCCTCTTCTTCTTTGACCAACAGGTCTATCAAGGAGCGTTTTTCTAGCTGGGTCGGTTTGCTCCATCCGCATTACATGGTCTACCCACCTCAGACGTCCTATCTTAACGTGTTTTACGCTAGTTCCTGGTATATTCTATAGAGTTACAAGTTGTATCGTCTTCTCCAGACACCATTTTCATTTAGCTAAGAGTGCCGTATTCATGCAAGAATAAATCCAAGTGTTTATAAGTGCTACAACCACATTACGGTTCAACAACAAAGAAGGACCTGTAAGGACAGCCAGGATTCCAGTTTTAACATTGCTCAGGACAGGACTTGGTAGATATAAAAACATTTTGACATTTTATTTGAATTCTAAACTATTTCGTCATGGTATATAGTGTTTATATATTTTTACACTGACTTTATATTTCGGTACAAAATTGTGCTAAATTAATATTTATATAAGGTCCATGCTTTTAGTATTAGCGGTTATTCAGAAATAAAATCTGTATTTACTATACTCAACTTTTTATTCTAATCTATATTAAAAAAGGATTAGACAAACTTACCACCCCGGGACGGGGTGTGATTAAAATCAAGCGTTGGTGAAATTAATACAGTCCATTAGGGGTCATTCGGACGCCTCTTAGTTCATGATAATAAGGCATATAGCCCTCATTAATCAACAGGATTAGGCTTTCAAAATTTAATAAGGAAAGCCCAAAATAGGGAAGACTTTGCAGAGGTTATCGCCAACCTTCGTTAAGAAGACGGCACCCAAAGAAGAAGAAGTATTAAACTAATTTCGAAACATATTAAAAAGGAACAAATTTCATAAAAAAATATACTTAAGTTGTACCAAGTCTACTCAATGTTATATTTAAAGTTTTTAATAAAAAAGAAAAAAAGTCTTGCTCTAAACATCACCGTACGCTTATGCTTCAACGATAAACTTGTTGAAAATTCTTGGAGAACATCATAGAGAGCTGCCTTACATGGACGTCGCCGATTGCGATGCGTCTTGGCCACCCTGTTCCCATATATGGGCGGCCGGCGTGTTATTTTTAAGTGCACTCGACAATCCCTATAAAAACGACGCTTCGCGTCATTAGCGCACTCGTTGTTAACGTCGCTGAGCGTCGAGTCCATACACTTTACTCAGAGGTTGGTACTCAATTTAGTGAAGGGGTATTTACCCCTTAAAACAACCCCAAGTGTTCAAAGTTTGAAAATTATTTGTGTAGTTTAGCAGTGAAAATAGTTGTTTGTTGTATTTTTTTGAAAAAATAGTGAAGGGTGGAAACTTACACATATATGTGAAGTTTATTGTGAATTTGGTGATGTTTTAAATGTTTTGTTAAATTAACTGTTGAAGCTTTATACGAAGGGTGTAAGAGTTATCAGGGATACTTCTATTTCATTTTTCAACAATTTCTTTTGAAAGAGCTTTGGTAATAACAAACAATAACGTCTTTCATACTTTCTACTAGAATGAGTGCTCAATTTAAAAATTGAATTTATATACAGGCTTTAACAAAAATAGTTGCATAACATATTAATTATTTAAATGCTGTTTTCACTCTGATTGATTCTCAATTCAAATTTATTTTCAATTTTCTATATACTTATCTTAATTTTGAAATCCTATATTAAATAATCTTAGTATTATTTAAAACGGAAAATTAAGCATCGCTGAGAAGATAAAATTTTAGCGTGCATTACAATCAATTTTATTAGTGTATGCACACTACTGCTCATTGCTCTATTCTTGATAGGCCCTCTCCTCAGTAAAACTTTCTTACATGAAAAAAAAAGGGCTAGTCACATTCTAGATTCTGTTCTATTATTGGTAAATACTCATGTAATAAAAAAATATATATTTTAACGATGAGAATATATCCTATGTATCTAGTAAAATCACGGTTTTTAAGAGTTTTAAAAGTGATATAAAACTGAAGAAATTTCTTCCCTATTGATAAGAAATATTGGAATAAGAGTAAAATGTAGATGTGATTAATTTAGAATATATATTAGTGTAGTAGCGATTTAAAAAAAATATTGACTGCATTTATTTATTTTAAAAGGCGTTTTACGAAACTGTTGAACTATCATTTTGTGAAAAGATTTTTTTAAATGTTCGAGGAAGGTTTTTAAACACCATTTACTGATATAAAGTGGATTCTTCTAATCGATAAACAATAGTTATATAATATAAAGTACTTCAGTTATATAAATTGGCAGTAATTTTTCTTTGTTTTTTCCTTCTACATTGTTTAAGTTTAGATATTTGTTGTGTGACTTTTCTCATTCACTATGGTAATTTCATAATTATTTCCAAATGAACAATTATTTTATAGAACCTAAGTATTTCTGTTTGCAAATAGGCTTTCGTGTTCTAATATTTTTGAAAGGTTTCTCTTTTTTTATTTATTTGAAAGGTTTTTTTTTATTTGAACATCGTTTATATTTCAAGGTATAGAAATCTAGGCCTAGTTCCTCTTCTAACAATAATGTTAGCTCGAAATTATACATGATTCTAATCCCTTTTGAGCTTAATTTTTTTATTTCTAATGGAAAAATTAAAAAATTATTATAACGAATATCTAGAAGCAATTATATATGAATACAAACTAATATAGCGCTAAAATCCTTTGAATTCAATACGTTTTGGGGCTTAACTTAGTCGCCTTTTATTATTTTATTGCTTATTGCAGGGATATAAAAGGCTTATTGCAGGGATGCTCTACATCACCGACACTGTTCAAGATATTCCTCGAACAAATATTAAAAGCATGGAAAAGGAAATGTGAAGGGATGGCAATACCAATCCGGGACAACTTCTTGTACACATTAAGCTTTGCAGATGACCAAGTGGTAACGGCTCAAGATGAAGAAGATCTGTGATATATGCTCCGAAAATTAGAAAAGGAATACACAAAAAATGGACTGGAAATAAACCTAGAAAAGACCGAATATTTAACAACAGAGCAAGAACCAGTGAGAAACTTGGAAATGGACGATGATAGAGAAATTAACGGCACTGAAAAATTCAAATATTTAGGATTCCTACTCTCAAAAAATGAAACCACCGTGCAAGAGATAACCAGCAGATTAGCACAGACAAGAACATGTACTAAACAAATGAACGGGGTACTGTGGGATAGACAGATTACCAGAAATACAAAGAAGAGAATTTATAACACCTTGGTACGCTGTATAATGACCTATGGATCAGAGAATTGTGTAATAAATAAACGAAACAGGTCCAAAATCACATCAACTGAAATGGAGTTCATGAGAAGAAGCTGCAGAGTGACAAAAATAGATCGCATCAGAAATAAGGAGATAAAACGAAGAATGGCAGTAGAACAAGACATACTCTTCTACATCGAAGAAAAACGTTTAATTTGGTATGGACATGTGAGAAGAACAGATCATACAAGGTGGATAGCAAAGATTTCGGATTGAAGCCCAAGAAGAAGGAGAAAAAGAGGTGGACCCCGAAGATCATGGAGGGATGAATTGGACGAGGCCATGGAAAGACGAGACCTTAGAGATGGAGAATGGCAGAACAGAAAGAACTGGAGACGTTGGCTGAAAGAAGGAAGGTGGCGAAAGCTGTAAAAATCCTTGTATAGATAGATAGATATTATTTTATTTTGGCCTTAACTGACTATTTCTTTTACTGTTTTCTCATTAGCATAGAACGATTTTCCTATATTCTCAAAACTGACACAGAAGGCTTTTCTACATTGAAAAACAATATTCATATTTTTTGAAATTTTTGAAAGTGTGCAAAAGTCAGATATATACTCTTTAAAAAAAAGTATTAAAAATAGTTTTATATTATTTATTTCCAGACTATTGCAACTGTTTAATAACTAAATAATTTCACGGTTTCTTTAATTTACTCCACATTTTTTCGTCTACAATTTTTGTTTGTTTTAAACTTGGGTTTTAATTTACCTGTCCGTATCTTGTCCCAATACTTCGCTTTCCTTATTTTATTTAATTCCTTACTATATATTTATTCTAGTGCTGAAGTCAAAATTCCTAAAAATATCAAAAACATTCTTCTATTAATGAAATTTTTAAACTGCCTCTAAACCAGTCGCTTAAATTTTTCAACCATGACATTCTCCTTCTTCCTATACTCGTTCCTCCACTTATCTTTCCTTGTACATATTATCAATCTTAGCATTTTATATCGCTGTCTCCCTATTGTGTGTCCCAAATATTGTGACTTTCTTATATTTATTTTATTTATTATTTCATATTTTTTACATGTTTCTCGCAATACTTTTGTGTTCATTTTCTTTTCTGTCTATACGATTCTAAGCATTCTTCAGTATAGTTTAAAAACCTATCTAAGAGAATCTATTAATATTCAGCTTAGCGTGGAAGAGGTGTGAAATTACATAAACAAGAGATAATTTCATAAAACAGGTAGACCTCTTGTTTATGGAATGTCACACCTCTGAACAATAGCACCCCCTGAGCTGAATATTCATGACTCTCTTAGATAACTTGTTAGAGTATAACACATAGTGTTACAGATAGTAGATTATAACATATAATATAGAAAAGACACGTAACATCTTAGAGCTCATATTCTCAGTTCTAATCTATGGTCTTTCTTCTTTCAGTACCTTGTCCGATGATCGAACATTGACGATCGTATTGGCAATAATAACTTTGTTTGTGAGCCAGGATATTCTTCTTCGGCCTGGGCCGCTCCTTCCGGCGATCTTAGTCTGTATTATGAGGTGTAGAAAGTTATACCTCTCTGGATGTCTCATTATATGACCGAAATATGGTAACTTTCGAATTTTTAACGTTTTTGTTATTTCTGTGTTCTTTTTCATTCGATGTAAAACTATTTCATTTCTTATTCGATCAACTTAACTTATCCGTAATGCTCGTCGTTAAATCCACATCTCAAAGGCCTCCAATTTTTTCATTAATGTCTCTGTAAGGGTCCAGCTCTCCATAACATATAGCAATGTGAAGAATATGTAGCAGCGTATTAATCTGATTTTCAGGTTTAACGTAATATCACTATTAATTAGAATTTTCTTTAATTTATAGAACGCGGCTCTGGCTTTTTCAATGGGTATTCTTATTTCTTTATTTATATCCCAGTTATCGTTAACGTTTGTGCCCAAATTTATAATAGTGTCCCAAATAGTGTCTTTCTAACTCTATTCCATACGCTCTGATGTTCGTTGGTTGTAACTCCGTTTTGCTGACAACTATAAGTTTTGTCTTAGAAGTATCAAGTTTTAGTCCATATTCATCACATGCTTCGCTTACCCTGTTTCTAAGTCGTTGCAGGTCTTCTTCATTGGAGGCAATAAGTACCGTGTCGTCTGCATATTTGAGATTGTTAACATTAATTCTGTTGATTTTATTGCCTGTATCTTCAACTAAGGCTTCTTTGAAAATAAATTCGGAGCAGATATTAAAAAGTAGAGGCGATAGAATATATCCTTGCCTCACTCCACGTCGTATTTCAACTGCTTCCGTCGTGTTGTGTCCAATTCGTATGTTTGTACAATGATGCCAATACAAATTTATAATAAAACGGAGGTCTCGATCATCAATTCCCACCTGTTCCAAGACACATATAAGTTTGTCATAGTTTACTCTGTCAAAGGCCTTTTCAAAGTCGGTAAAACACATATATACCGATTGTTCGATATCCCTACATCTTTGAACCATAACCTGCAAACTGAAAAGTGCTTCTCTGGTTTCAAGGTTATTGCTGAAACCAAATTGTGTTTTACTTAGTTGTATAATACTTCAATTTTGTTGTAAATTCTTGAGTGCAGTATTCTTAGGAAAATTTTCGGTACATGACTCATCAGATTGATGGTGCGATGATTGCTACGCTGTTTGGCATTTATTTTTTAGCTATCATTACAAATGTTGACAGTAGCCAGTCTTTTGGTATATGTCCTGTTTCGTATATTTTATTGAAGAGGCTTAGAAGAGAATGTTTACCCGTATCGTCGAATAGTTTCATTATTTCGTTTGGAATTTCATCTGGACCGGCTGCTTTCCTATTCTTTGATAGCTTTATAGCTCTTTCCATTTCATCGAGCGTTATGTTTGGACCAGTCGATATATTTTCGATTTGAATTTCTGTTCTATCGTCATCAAACAGCTCCTTAATATATTCTTTCCACCTCTCTAAACTGTCTTGTTCATTGACTATAATATTTCCTTGATTATCAAGTAAACTACTTGCAGTTGATCTTTATGTTCCGGTTATTTCTTTCACCTTATTAATTTCTGAACGTAATTTCTCTTGTCCATGTATGAATTACGGCAAAAGTATTTTTATATTTTTTTATCTGTGGTATTATCCGTTATATAAAAACATGGGATGTAAACTGAAGTTCAAATTTATTATTTTCAGAATCAGATTTGGAACGTGTTCAAGTTAACGCAGATAAAACATTTTCAATTGTTTCTGAAAATTTTTTAAACGCGAATCATCTATTTTTTGATGGTACATAGGCAGACGCACAATTTTGTCTATAGTGTAGCGTCTCGAAACGATAAAAATATATAGTTGAATATTATTTTTAAATCGATCTTGATATGCTAAAATATATTCGCAGGTAAAAGTATATGGACGCCTGTATACACGACTTACGTTTCAAGTCCAATCTTAATAATTTTAGGTCTCTATCATAAGCTTTTGGTATATAGGGAGAATGTTTACTAAAAAAGGCTGATACTAAACTATTAAATAATTTATTAAAACAGAATAAAAAAATAGTAAAGTCAATTTTACAATTAATCAAAATCATGCGCTAATCCGCATAATTAAAATTAGAAATTCATTAAAATTCCTATTCGCTCCGTGCGTGACCATGGTAGGGGTACATTGAAACGATGCCAGCGTGCGTAGCGGCGAAATATGACAAAATTGGAATATTGGACAAAATCTTTTTACGCATAAGTTTTATCAAAAATGTGTGCAAATACATGTTGCGTATTTAATTCTGCTAATAATAGCAAAAACAGTGAGTGTAGTTTTTATAGGTTCCCAAAGATTACATATAAATTAGAGAAAAGAAAAAGATGAATTCGTGCTATTAATATGAAAAAGTAAATATCACATACTTTCATTTTTATGCAATTGAAATAGGAACAATTTAAATAATTTACCATATATGATATTTCATAAGGCTTCAAGATAACTGCAGATGACTTTAGCTTTTATATCATAACTTTTACTATTATTGTTTTTAATTATATGCTCTTTTGCGTGTAAAACTTGATTTGCCAGTACTAGATTTTTCGCTTTGTTTTCCGTTTGGAGTTGAAAAGATATATTATTATGAATTTTGAGAAACTCAGTTTTTAATACTATATTTATTTTGTACATAAACTGAAAAATATAGTTAAAAAACTAATTTATTAATAATTGTCAATTTCGCATGTATTTACCAATGTCAAACATATGTCATATATTTAACCTGAAAATTGGGACTCCAAAATTGTCAGATGAAGGCGGTAGGTGTCGCATCAGTCACGCACGGAGCGAATACAAATTATCAAAAATTGTTTGGACTTGTATTCAAATAAAAGATCTCTTCTGTGTGTTTTCTTTTTTAAATTAAATCAAGGCAAAGAATTTTCGTTCAAGAAATATGACTTCTTTTATTTTTTTTATATCTGAATTAAAAAAAATTATTGTGAAATGAAATCACTCAATAAAAAATATCAAAAACAAAATTAATTATGATCTATTTATGGTCGTGGTTGAAAGTCTTTGTTGATTATATGGCAAATTAACCTTTTATTTCCAAGAATTCTCTAATGGTCCCTTTTCTTCTTACGACTGTGATCTGCCCACCTTTTGTTCGTAATCTCAGTTGCTCTACACACGCCTTCTATCTCCTTGTCAACATGCTACTGGACGAAATACCTATTTCACAGTAACCAAATTTCTTTCTAGTCGAAAGAATTTTCACTTGGTCGACTAGTACCAAATATACTATACAAGTGATTGTTTATTATAGGATGTACTTTCGTTGTCCACTGCTACCGATCCTGGCACTCGTTCCACAGACAGAAAACACCTTTCACAATTATTATTTGGCAAGAACTCTGCTAACTTTCACTGCAGGCAAATCTTCCCTTTCCAAGGCAAAACTTTCTTCACTTAAATCCCCTCTTTTCATCAATCAAACACACACATCCTACATACCACGCAATCCCTTTCGACCAATCAAATTCTGTGACTTGTCAAATACAAGCTCAATGCTATTATGATATCACATAACTTTTGTATTTCCAAATTTTACATAAATAAGATCTTTTCTTTGTTTTCAAGTTTCTAAAGACAATACAGCTAATAATAATTCGGTTTTGTATATTATGAGATGTTATGTATATATAGTCTCCAATCTCTTTCACTCAAAGCCTTAGCTGTCTTTTATTGATATATTTGGTGTCTTCTTTCCCTTCTTGTTGTAGGTTTCTAGTTCATTTTCATTTTGGTATTCGATCTTCTGCCATTTTTTACATGTTTGTTACATGAGTTGTTTGTGGCGGCTTCTTCTTCTTCGATAACCTTCTCTTATCGAATATCGGTAATTATTTTGGCAAATAATTTTCTGTGTTACGGTAAATTTCACCACTCTACGGCATTGTTGGCCTATATCCCGTTAGTTACTATATATTTTTCGCTTTTTTGTCCTCCATACGAACGAGGAGACCAAACTACATAAGGTTTCTTTGTAGAATAACAATGTTACATCTGAAACATCATTTTTTTTTCTCATATTTGTTTTTTATATACGCCAGGTTGCTGAGTTTAGTCTTAACTTTTGGCTCAACTAATGTGTCATTTACATGAGTGAAGAATATATTGCTTTGATCTAATGTTACTCTTATATGCATACCTTTGTCAGACTAGTATATTTTGAAATTCAATATTTTAGACTCTACATTTGGATTATCTCTCTAATTGTCCTTTTCATACACCATTCCTTTAATTGATTTAATACGTTCTGTAAATGTCTCCCGCTATACCAGATCTCAATATTAGCTTCTTACCGTAATAGCAGTTACGTGAGCCCAAAGTCCTATACAGTATGAGCTTCATTGAATGTGTGAATTATCGCTCTCGATAAATCCAAGACTCTTGGATTAAAGATTTAATCAAGATAAAAAACAAAAACCATTTTTTAATTCGAAATGGGAACACACCCTTATATTGTAGGTTTCTATTTATTCAGTTTTTTTTTTTCACAGAAGCTCTTAAAGTTCTTACAAAGTCAATTAAAATTATTATCCAATAAATAGTTATAACAAGGACTCTGTCTAAAGCAGAGAAAATCGTTCTGTTCATGAGCGTACTAAGTAGAATTTATTTAATAGGACAAGGAGTTTAATATTTTAATAATGAGCATATCAAGGATTTTCTTATTCAATATTTTTCTGGATAATTGATTTAGTACACCGTATCATAATGTACTAAAACTTTAGGTTATAAAAGTTATATGAATTTTAAAAATTTATGGAAAACGGAACTGACAAATAAACAAGCACATAAACTTTAAAGTAAAGAAAATATTCATTCGAAAATAAGTATTTATTATCATTCAGTCTTTTCAGTTTTTTGGCGGGCTTCCTATGTCTACTACATTTTCCAATGATCGGGTTTGTTTTGTTTGTATTCATTTTGTTATAATGTCTTTAAGATTTGTCTAAGATTATTGTGTTATCTAATGGGTAGCTACTGTAATTTATCGGTTCTCTTTTTTATTCCATCTACATTATGACATTTTAACTATAACCTATACAAGTTCATTCAACCAAAATTTGCTGCTTAACTAAATCATCAAACTCAATTAGTTTGTGTTACTTACATATCTGTCAACATTTTTTTACTGTTCATTGTTACATAGGTACATATACTTACTGTTGCTTTCTGTTTCAGTCGCTGTACCACCAAACCAAAAAACCATAAATCATGTGTGACGACGATGTAGCGGCTCTTGTCGTCGACAATGGCTCCGGAATGTGCAAAGCCGGTTTCGCCGGTGATGACGCCCCTCGTGCTGTCTTTCCATCCATCGTAGGTCGCCCCAGACACCAGGGTGTCATGGTGGGTATGGGTCAAAAAGACTCCTACGTAGGAGACGAAGCCCAAAGCAAAAGAGGTATCCTTACCTTAAAATACCCTATTGAACACGGAATTATTACTAACTGGGACGATATGGAAAAGATTTGGCATCATACCTTCTATAATGAACTTAGAGTAGCCCCCGAAGAACATCCTATTCTTTTGACTGAAGCTCCACTCAACCCAAAAGCCAACAGAGAAAAGATGACACAAATCATGTTTGAAACTTTCAACACCCCTGCCATGTATGTCGCCATTCAAGCTGTATTGTCTCTGTATGCTTCCGGTCGTACCACTGGTATTGTACTTGATTCTGGAGATGGTGTATCCCACACAGTACCCATTTATGAAGGTTACGCTCTCCCACACGCCATCTTGCGTTTGGACTTGGCCGGTAGAGACTTGACTGACTACCTTATGAAGATCCTAACCGAAAGAGGTTACTCTTTCACCACCACAGCTGAAAGAGAAATCGTTCGTGACATCAAGGAAAAATTGTGCTATGTAGCTTTGGACTTTGAACAGGAAATGGCCACAGCAGCCAGCTCCACCTCCTTAGAAAAGAGTTATGAACTTCCTGATGGTCAAGTCATCACCATTGGTAACGAAAGGTTCCGTTGCCCTGAAGCTCTCTTCCAACCTTCCTTCTTGGGTATGGAATCTTGCGGTATCCACGAAACCGTCTACAACTCCATCATGAAGTGCGATGTCGACATCCGTAAAGACTTGTACGCCAACACTGTCCTTTCTGGAGGTACCACAATGTACCCTGGTAAGTATTTCTTTGTTTAAGAATAAATTAATTATGTTTTCTAATTCATCTTATTCTATTGGTAATCCGAGTCTACTTTTCAAATATTTTCTCAATGAATCAATTTACTTGGGTTCATTTTTTTCTAGATTTTAAATTTTATTTTTGTGGTGTATATCTTGACTTAATTTTTTAAATTTTTTCAAATACTTGTGTGTATACTTACTATTACATATTTTCTTTGTCATATTTTCTCTATTTTATCAACGGAATTTTTCATTGGTTTACATTTTCATTTTCTTGTTTTTTATTATTTGATATTTTCAAAATTCCTATTATGCTTTGTACATTCTCTTATAAACATCTTGGCAGTTTTTCTTTTTGCTTCACTTATCTTTTTAATTACGGAGCGCTAAAATCGGCAACGTTGCAATGTTCGTTCTCCGACCCGAGATTATTTGCACCGACAGAAAATCATTTTAGTTTAGTAACTCACAACAACGTTTGGGATGTACTTCTCTGTCGTCCGATCTCATGTTTCATTACGTATAGCCGATTTTAATAGTAGGAAATTCGATAAAAATGCACTGACCTAATCGGTGCATTGTTATCGATTTTTATTAATGTGAAAATTTTTTTGTGGTTGAATTAAAAATAAAAGCGTATTTCTTTAAAAAGATAAAATAAAAAATATACTCTTATTGAAAATTAAAATATTATTCCTAATAAAATAAAAAATAATTCTTTATGACCTACATAAATGGTTCAAATAGTTGACCTTCTACGGCTGAACAGTACCCCAATCTGTCATAAAAACTTCTGCGAACAGATGAAAGAGTTTCTGCTGTAACAGAATTGGAGACTTCTCTTATTCGATTTTTTAATTCATCCAAATTTTGGGCTCTAGCCTCAGGATGATCGTAGATAATGCTTTTTAAATGTCCCCAAAAAAAGACGTTCATGGGTGTAAGATCTGGAGATCGCGCAGGCCACTTAATATCGCCTGTTCCACTGATAACTCGATTCGGGAAAGTATTGTTTAAATACTCCCTAATAATTCGAGCGTTGTGAACTGAACAGCCGTCTTGATGAAACCAAACATTCTCCAGATTTACATCAGGAAGATTGAGAATAGCGGGAAGAACATGATTCTGTAACAAATCGAGGTATACTCTGCTATTCAAGTTGCCCTCAATAAAAAATGGACCTATTATGTGGTCTCCTAAAATGCCAGTCCAGACGTTAACTTTTTGAGGACGTTGAGTTCGGTAAACAACACTTCTGTGCTGGTTTTCCCGCGCCCAATACCTCGTAATGGAAGGATTGTGTCTCCCTACTAACGAAACAGAAGATTCATCACTGAATAAAATGTTTTTGTTCAAAAAATGGTTCACTATTAGCCTTCGTTATTAGAGTTTCACAAAACTCCATTCTTCGAAAGTAATCGTCTGGATAAAGCTGCTGCGTTTTCGAATATTTAAAATTCTTATAACCGTGCATTTTCCATACTTCCGTTACAGTAACATTGCTAACATCTAACTCTCTAGCAACGCTTCTACTTGAACGTGTTGAATCTACCTCGATTGTTGCACAAATTTGTGTATCCCGGTATTATCTTTCCTCAACTTTTTCTGGTAACACTTCTTGAGCGTGACATTTTCTGCAATTTTTGAGGCAATAACAACTCTCAAAATTTTTAACAATATTATAAATTGACTGTACACAAAGAATTGGTCTTCCCTCAAAAAACACAGAAAATAAATCTACACACTGTTGCGCAGAATTGCCACTATAAAACCATTTTATTTATGAGCTTTTTCCGCGGCCATATAAACAGACATTTTTACAAAAATAAATTAAAACTCTACGCTGTTCGCTGTTATACCTTTAAACAACCACGGTATAATGACAATATGACAAATTTGCCGACGGGCGACGAGCAACGACGAGTCAACGAAGCAGATGCGTAGTGGCAGGTCGACGACGCGCAGTGTTGCCATTTATAGAGTGTATACCTAATCCAAAACTTAACCCATTGTATATACTTTAAGTAGAATCTGAAAGCCATCTTTTTTCTTCTTCCTCGACGTCATTTTCTGTGTTTTTTTAACTCTCTTTTTTTATTTTCTGTGTTTTTTAATTATCTTTTTTTATTTACCGAGAGATAGTCGTTTTGTATTAAACTTAATTTTTTCCTCCGTTACAATCTTTGGAATTAATATCGTCAATGTCGTCAGCTTCATCGTCTTCGTATGATGTCTTCGCTTGAAAATTGTACTTCTTTTCTCTTTACAGATTTATTTTTTTTTTAATTTTTGTTTTTTGATTTACTTTTCCATTTTTTGTTGCCTTCTGTGTTCCTTTTGTGCCAATTCTAATTACAAAGGTGTTGAGGTTAATATTTCGAATCTTTGCTTTCTATCTTCTACCCTCCTTCGGAACAAATATCTTTTATATATCGTTCGGCAAAGGCAACATAGCACTGAATGAAACATTTTCTTTATCTTTACATATCTGGTTTTCTTTGCAAGATCCTGGTTTTTTGGAAGGTCCTGGTTGAAAGTATAAAAGTTTTCTTCGTTAAATATATTTCGGTTGAATAAAAAATTCCGGTCTCCAAAACCATTTGCAGCTTTGTCCATGCTTGCAACTCTAGTACAAGCCTTTGAGAATAAAGAGCTTACGTTGCTCATTTCAATTTTCTCATAATAGGGTTGAGACTTTAAAGACGAATCACATTCAACGTCATATACTCGCTTCAATGTTGAGAAGAAGCTAATGTCTAGTAGTTGCAAACGATGCGCGGTATGCGGAGGTATGGATAATATAATGATCCCATTTTCTTTGCGAAAAATTGCAATGGAGCAATGACTGGAGTGATTTTTCATCAGTAAAATGAGATCATCTCTTGCAGGTTTATTGGTTTTCGCAAAATGTTAAATCCACAAGAGAAGCACTTCTTCGTTATGCTAGCCGCATTACAATAATAGAACAAAGAACAATGATAATGTTACAAAATAGATATCATAGGTATGGAAAACTACATTCATTTACAAGTTAAATGAGGGTGACAAGAAAAAGTTCGTATTGAAAAAAGAACTGATGAGTTTAACAAAAATATTAATTCATTTAAATGTCCACATTCGAAATACCTAAACCAAAAATATATGAATGAACTGTTCTAGGTCAATGGCAGTATGTCATATAATTTGGATGAAAGTCAAGAAAAACACATTATTATCTAATTGTTGTGCATATTTTGGATCTGAGCCAGTTTTCGTTTTTCTGGAGAATATGGTAGAAAGTGAAAAAGATTAATGACATAAATCACATTTGAAAACTACATCTGGCACTTTCTTAACTGCCTGTTGTGTCATATTTTCTAAAAATAGAATGAAAAACAAGAAGTTTATTTAGTGGTTAAATATTTCGTAAAGCGGAAATCTAAATAATACCGACGGAAATTCTTTTGTAAATATAACAGTTATGCAAGCTGAAAATTTTATATTAAAAATAAATATAAGTTACAAAAATGCTTCAGAAAGATGTGCAGTACACTTTCTTGAAATAAACATTCTCGATCATAATATATTCGATATCACGTGAAACAAACAGCACATATTTGGAAAATTCATTCAAATATTTGCCAAAATGATTGTCTACTCTTCCTGTATCTGTATACACTTCATTTTAACAATTTAATATACAAAAATAATCCCGTGTCTATTCAGAAGTGCGCCAGTATGATTTTGTTTCCTGCCATTTCTTTAACTTTTTTGTGTAGATTAAGTAGATCTTGTCTTTTTTGAAGGTCCTAGATCACTGCATTTCTCTTCTTCGAAGTATTTTTTTCCTGCTTTATAATCTTCCTGATGTAATCATTAATCCCCCTGTATTTATTGTTATTTTTGTTCTTACATTGTCCCTTTTATTCCATCCTATTGAGTATTTCGTCATTCATCCGTTTCTCTTTTCTCCTTGCAGAAGTCTCCTTGCGGAAGTCTTCAGTATTTCCTTACACGGTTCCAGTAGACAATGATTTTATCGGTCTCAGTGCTCATCAATCAATCAATCATTGGTGTTTATGTTCAGTTTGCTGCAGTTTATATTGGAGGATTTCTTTGAAATTGGGTTCTTTAAGCTTGCTTGCGTCTGTTGTAGGAATTCTTTGATGTATTTTTTAACTTTTTAAGTGTAAGCGTAATCCTGGCGAAACTACTGTGGCGAGCTATATAAAAATAACGAGGTACCAGTAGAAAATCAGTGACCTGTGACTACCCTAGAGAACCTACTGTACAAAAAGGGTGTACATATGTGAAATTATGAGTATAATTTCAGTATATGAGGACCGTATTACATAGGTTGGTTCAAATAAATTAGGATATGTAGTAAAGGGGAATCTATCCGGGTACCGATTTCTGAACACGTGTTTCACCACGAGAACATTTGCGTCTGTACGCGATTTAAAATAGTATTTGCGGTATTTTTCGCGTAACTAAAATCGGGAGAGAGATAATAAGTTAGCGGCAGTCAACAGGGAAGAGACAGCGTCTCTTCAGCGATAGATAACAGCCAAGAGGAATATGTCTATACCAAGTGATAGGTGACAGGCAAGAGAGAGAGAGTACGTCTGCCTAGCGAGACGTAGCAGACAAAAGAGAGCGACTTCTTGTTTGCTATGTTACAACTGTCTGTATTTCTAAAGGAGGGGAGGTTGAACTGGAATAGAAAGGGTTATCAAGGGTTGAACTAAGGTAATGATTGTAAAATTGTAGTAAAAGAATAGTTAATAATACATCTAAAAATGACATGATTTTTCGCATGTAAAAAAATGAACATACTGTATACATTAGGGATATTGTTGTAAAAACTAAGATAACTAAGAACTATTTAAAATCTAGAGAATCTATATACATATTTGGCTGAAAGCGCCAGTATTGGTTAAAGGGTAACCTAGCTTGTTTATTAACCTAAGGTATTTGACATTAGGTGTAGATACACTTGTTTGAGCAAGATAATCCTTGCCTGGGAGCAATTCGATTACCTTTGTCAGAGGCCAGAGGAGTGGGGAAGTCTCTTCATTGTTGATTACTACCACATCTCCTATCTTTAAACGATCAGTAGCGATATTCAGCTTAATCCTACTTTGTTGTAGTAGCATATTCGAAGCAAGCAGTGGAAGCGTCAGGCATCTGGGAAATGGAATTTTATATATTGATTGTAATGTATCCTTAATGATTTCCAATCCGAGATTAATAGGTCATCAAGTATATCACTGTTTCAGTCTAAGGACAATGACCAGAGGCGTTTTAAGAAAGATTTAGAGTGTACTCTAAAAGATAAGAGTTTTCCTAAGGAGTTATAAATTCGAGAAATATATGGCCTCTTCACAAAGAGGTGATGACAGCAACACATAAATATCGTCAGTCCTAAGTTAATTTTTATCTAACAGTATTATTTCTTTTTCAGGTATTGCTGATCGTATGCAAAAGGAAATCACTGCCTTGGCTCCATCAACCATCAAAATCAAGATCATCGCTCCACCAGAAAGAAAATACTCCGTTTGGATCGGTGGCTCCATCTTGGCCTCCCTGTCCACCTTCCAACAGATGTGGATCTCCAAACAAGAATACGATGAATCCGGCCCTGGAATTGTTCACCGCAAATGCTTCTAAACTACTTTATATTTATCGTATACATATTAAGTACAATACTGAGAGTTGGAGCATGAATGTGTGTTTTTATTTTGGTTATAGATGATGACTTGTTGATATTGTAACAATAAATTCATTTTGTATTACTTTGGTAATATTTTATTTATGGGAACAGCCAGATTGAAGTCGTAAAGAGTTACAAAATATTCTAGCCAATAACAACCTGAAAGTGTCAATTAACACTGAGTAATAGTTTGAGGCGCTTAGCTCCAGCTCCTTTTTCAGCCGATAGTAAGAAGTATCTAAACTAGAATACATTCTGTATTGTACTTTATAAATATGCGACTTGTATAACATCAATTTCATTGTAAAATATCATCATCATTGTTTTTATGGACCTACGTAACAGTAGGATACACATGACAAGACTTCTTTTCCTGCTGTGTATACGCACCTTTACAAACATGCTGCTGGCCTAATTGTAATCCTGTAAGGGGCCTTTGTTGGGCGCGTAGTTTGTTTGTGGGAATTGTATTGACTACTTATATACCTACTTTTATTATTAAGGCATTTGAAATCGTAAACTAAAATTGGTTGTTTATATTTTATATGAGTATTTTTAGTAGTAGATAAGATTTCAATTGCAGAACTACCTATGTATGTATTCATTAGAAATAAATTCTTATTCCAAAATAAAGTTTTGTTACATAGTCATTTGTGATTTATATTTATTGGTGTTATTCATTTCAAGCTAGAGATATCTGCTAATAAGTACGCTTAGGACCTCAGCCCAGACTTTTGTGTTTATTTGCAACAGTGTAAAGCAAACAGCAAACTACGTAGGTTGGGCAGACCGGGGGAATCCCGACACCTTAACACGATTTGAATTTTTAGATTTATTTTATATTTGTTAGGTTTTTTTATGAAAATACCTATACAATAATTGGAATTTTCCGCATCCTTTGGGTATGTAATATTGATAAAACAACGTCATTTATGTATTTAAAAAAAAATTTCCCTAACCTTAGCAAAGTGTCGGTACGTCCCCGTTCACCTGGGAGACTACATTATAATGCGCTCCCTAACTTTCGCGTGATTGGTTGATGGGTGGGTCCCAATTTAAAAATTGGCTGGTTTCATGTTTATTAAAATGACAATAAAATTGAGGTATTGTGGCACAGTATATCGCTAAACAATTTATTATCAATATATTGTGGTATTTGTACAAAGCGGATGATATTCACATCATAGGATTAAGCTGACTAGTACAGTTTTATTAGAAATTAAAATTTATTTTTCTTTTGACATTATGTAGGTAAAATTAAATTCAGACATTGGTTTATTTAATTTTGATATGCTAGTGATGCTTTTTTTTATTAGATATATAGATATTGTTTTAATTTTTTTGTTTAGGTAATTTTTTATTAAGATTTAGAGGTTCCTCTTATTATTTTGATTTCTAGAACATTCGTTACCATTATTATTCTCATTAGCTTTCTCTATGTGGAATCAGCTTCTCTAAGTATTTTCCTCTAAACTTTTCGGTTCTTTTCCAGGGACTAAGTACCTCTCCGCTTTTTGTATGAGATTATGGTTTTTCAGAAACATGTAATTTCTGTCCATCCCCTTTTTTACTGCCCTACATTCAGTACCATACATCATATAGCTGGTCTAAAGGCAGTCCTATACAATTTAGGAGAGCTTTAGAGGAGTTTTCCTTCGCTATTGCACCAATAACGCCCCCCCTCCTTTGATTTCCCAGATTTTTAATAAAGAATAAAGATATTTTAGATATAGCTATTTAGTGTTTTATTTGGTTTTCAATCGTTATTTCCAGTAAACCTCTGCTTCATTTTGTTGACAATGACAATTTTTCATAGCACTCAATTCCCAATATATCTTTTTATTATCCTACATTTGTGGTAAAATCTAACAGAATTCAGTGTAAGGTTCTAAAAAATGAAAATGGATAAATGTCAATTTGGATTTAGGCAAGGCAGGTCTACAACAAGCAATTTTTATTAAAAGAGCTAATTTAACAATTTAGAGTTAATTTACATTGTATTATTAAACTTGAGAAAGCACATGATGCAGATATCAGAAACCTACTGTGGCAGAGATTAAGTAGGAAAGGAGTGCCGGCTGAATATGTGAGTGGAGTATGAGCAAGTAACAACTATAATAGTGTTAAAACAACTATTATAGTGTTGGAACGATTACAGATGAAACTGGCAAATTTTGTGTAAAAATGGGTGAAAATCAGGGTTTCGCCCATATTTATTCTCATTTGTGCTGGATTACATAACAACTGAACCTCCTGGGTATTAGTAGAAAAGAGTAGCGGAGACAGGTCCTTGAAGAAAAATTATTAAAATTAAGTTGGATACAAACAAAATATTTAGAATATTCTTTTAAAGATGAAATTTCAAGACCAGATAGAGTAGTTGGCTTGGATAGACAAGAACTCATAAAATATGATAATGTTCGGCTGTTAGGATTGGTATTACCGTTTTATCTCTAATATTTCAATTAAAGGTAAAGGAAAGAGGCAAATTGAGTGATGTATGATAAAAAAGGTACCAAGAAAACTAAAAGGTAAATTGTATAGGACTGCCTTTAGACCAGATATGATGTATGGTACTGAATGTAGGGCAGTAAAAAGGGGATGAACAGAAATTACATGTTTCTGAAAAACCATAATCTCATACAAAAAGCGGAGAGGTACTTAGTCCCTGGAAGAGAACAGAAAAGTTTAGAGGAAAATATTTAGAGAAGCCGATTCCACATAGAGAAAGCTAATGAGAATAATAATGGTAATGAATGTTCTAGAAATAAAAATAATAAGAGGAACCTCTATCTTAATAATCTTAATAAAAAATTACCTAAACAAAAAAATTAAAACAATATCTATATATCTAATAAAAAAAGCATCACTAGCATATCAAAATTAAATAAACACAATGTCTGAATTTAATTTTACCTACATAATGTCAAAAGAAAAATAAATTGTAATTTCTAATAAAACTGTACTAGTCAGCTTAATCCTAAAATGTGAATATCATCCGCTTTGTACAAATACCACAATATATTGCTAATAAATTGTTTAGCGATATACTGTGCCACAATACCTCAATTTTATTGTCATTTTAATAAACATGAAACCCGCCAATTTTTAAATTGGGACCCACCCATCAACCAATCACGCGAAAGTTAGGGAGCGCATTATAATGTAGTCTTTCACCAGGGTAATTCCGACTGGCGCGGCGTAGGAAATTTCGACACTAAGCAGGTAGCGACTAAAATTTAATGGCAATTTTCGACACCGAGCCCCAATTCCCGTTTTTATCTTACAGGTATATTCGACACCAAATAAATATAGCTGCGACATAAATAAAATACCATAATTAATTTATTTATTTTAATAAAAGTAATGTGCATTTTATTTCTTAATAACTGTAATAATATCTAAATATAATACAACTAGTACCTAATTTTTGTACATTTTACCGTTAATATACTTCTTGTATACAATGATTTATTTGCTATTATAGGAATGATAAGATACAGCTTTTATAAAATCTAACCTACGTATTTGTTGGGATCGTAGTTTATCCATCATTTTCTCCAAAAATGCCAATTTAGCCTTAACAGTAGTATCTTTGATTTTTGCTGGTATATGTAAACTATTTATTTTGACATAAGTGTTTACTTGAAATTCTTTTAACTTTTCAATAAAAATAAAAATAGAAGGATGTGTTGAATATAAAGAAGAATTAAATCTCGAATGAAAGGATTCACAGGCATTTGTGGTCCTCGCAATAGACGGATTCTGATTAGACCATATGTGTGGTGGAAATAGAGCGCTATCGAAAATGTAATGTTCCAGTAAATAATCTGCATATATATCAAGTATTGTGTTTATAGGTTTATATGACATTAAATCATAAAGAAAGCATTCTTCAACTTCTGCTGGATTTAAATAAGTTAAACCAAACGTATGCCTTAACCATTTTCCAATTTCTGAATTTGTATCCTTATATTCTTGTACCAAACCCAAAGATTGAATTTTTTTAAACCAGTTTTGCTGTAAGTGAAAACGGCATTCACTAATTTTTGCATTGGGCCACATATACAATAAAGCACAGTGAATTGCTTTTTCAAAGTCCACAAATATTTCAGTTGGCTCTAATGATAATTGAAATGTTTCCAAAATCTTAGACCTTAATAAAGAAAATAAATTTTTGTATGCCATTGACAATTTGTCCTTTAACAAACAGTATGCTAAAGGAACATAATGTCCATTTTCCAAGCCATGTATAGTAAATAATTGTAGAAAATATTTGGTACTGTTGAAAATGTACCATCCATATACAAAGTTTTTAATTTACACAACAAACGAATATTTGTCTCGCATGAAAATACAATTACATTTAATTCAGGATGATTTAAAAACAAAAAACTTTCATTGCGACAGGTTTTAGGAGAATAATTACTAACCGCGTTATGGACTTCTGATATGCTTCTTGGTAACGGACCTGGTAACAGTTTACGACGACAGTTGTAAATGTTCTTTCTTATGCTAGCTATGTCAGGAACCGTCAGCAAATTGGCATCACACTCAGCAACAGCAGTTCTTGTAATTTTGGCAGGCTTTTCCGATATGTCCTCTTGGGCTTTTCGTTTACATGCATTGGTTATCATCTTTACTTTAAGCTTTTTTGGATCGGCTTCATGATTATGTACCAAATCACTTCTTGTGATGGTGAAGTCCTCACAGTCTATTATTGTAAACACTTTTGCGGAACACTTAGTGTTTCTTTGGATGCAGCGCCAAAATATCTCACCGCTTTTTAACACTTTCTGTTTCGAGAACGAATGATGCTCCACCACTAATAAATCTCGACCACGGGAACTTTTTATCAAACTCATTTTTTAAATATCCGTATACGTGCACAAGTCAACGTCAAACAAGAAATAAATTACAACTGAAATAATTTAGTCACAAGTACACAAGTGCCACGCCCCCCGCCGTGACAATAAATATTGGGAAAACCCGCTTGTCCTGCTTGGGTGCAAATGTCCATCGCCGCTAATTACCTACCTACCTGCTTTACGCCGCGGTGTCGAAATTTCCTATAATAAAATTTGACCCTTCGATTACCCCAGGTACAAAGACAATTTGGTGTCGAAAGTTCGCCCGCCGATTCCGACAGACGTTTAGAGTAATGACGACAGTAGTAATAATAAGAAAATAATGAGACAACTGATGGTATCGCTATATACGAAAACATTAAATACTTGAACGAAAACAAGATAAGCAGATACGTAAGTAGATATATTAAAAATAAAAGTTGTTTCTACAACAAACAACCTAGTTCATAGAACAAAAGTCGCACTGATAGTTTGAGGGCAGTCATATCCACTGCACTCAGCGTGAGCCCATTGTCCACAAAACACACATCTGTACCATGGTTCAGTTTTTACACCAAGCTCACCACAAACCAAACACGTTTCAGTGTTTGCGGAAAATAATTCATAAATGTCATCAAATTCGTTGTCATCACATATTTTTGATTCATCTATATATTCTTCGGAAGAGGATTCTTCAAAATTGATTTGTCTTCCACACCTTCTTCCGTGATTTGTAGTCTTGCGTTTTATTACGCCCGATTTTATTTGGGACTTCAGATTCGGGTTGACTTTTGGACCCTGTATAACTTTTTCTAGCCTACGCTTGGCTTTTAAGTCCCTAATTTCTTTTTTCTTCTTTGTGTCTTCTAAATGATTTTGGAAGAGGTGATACTAATTCCAAAATGTATTTGAAATGAAACAGATGCTCAGAGGATTTTGGACAAAAATTCGATTTAGAACTACCAGCTAATCTATATATATATATAAAAGAAAGTCGTGTTAGTTACATCACTTATAACTCAAGAACGGCAGAACAGACTTGGCTGAAAATTGGTAGGGAGGTAGCTTAGAGCCAGGAGATGGACATAGGATACCTTTTATCCCGTTTGACAGCGTTCCCGTGTGACTTGACATGAAACGTCAGTCACTATAAAACATTGTGGTATAACAAAAAGAATAACAAAACGCAAATGACAGCTATGTAATTGACGTAAAATGACAGCTATGTAATGACGTATGGATGACAATTTGATATTTGTAAAAAATCAATATTAAAACTATTTCTATTAAATAAATAATTAACAAGTGGATTGAAGTGAAGTGAAGTTTAATTAATAATGCCGCGACCAAGACGATCGAATCTTTCCCGACAAAGCCGTAATTGAAGTGAAGTGAAGTTTAATTAATAATGCCGGAATAACAAAACGCAAATGACAGCTATGTAATTGACGACATTGACGTAAAATGACAGCTATGTAATGACGTATGGATGACAATTTGATATTTGTAAAAGATCAATATTAAAACTATTTCTATTAAATAAATAATTAACAAGTGGATTGAAGTGAAGTGAAGTTTAATTAATAATGCCGCGACCAAGACGATCGAATCTTTCCCGACAAAGCCGTAATTGAAGTGAAGTGAAGTTTAATTAATAATGCCGCGACCAAGACGATCGAATCTTTCCCGACAAAGCCGTAATGCAAGAAGAATACAAAATACTGCAAATGAAAGGACTGAAGAAGAACAAGAAATTGCACGTGAACAGCGCCGCGATAGTATGGCTCGACTTCGTGCTTCTCAATCACGAGAGCAAAGTGAAGCAGCCCATGAAACAGCTCGGTTGGCAATGCAGAATCGTCGAGCGAACAACAGGAGGCAACAAATAGATAATTTGCGACGCAGAACAAGATATTTAGCTGATTTGAATCGAGCAGCGTTTCGATACGATTGCAGCAATGATTACAGCTCGCATCCTAGCGTTTGCATTGGGCAAATGGACGTTGTTTGCGAGTATTGTGGTGCATTAAAGTTTTCCGGAGAAACGCCTGGATTATGCTGCCTTAATGGTAAAGTGAAATTGCCAGTGTTGACTCCGCCACATGAGCCATTGTATTCATTGCTTTGTGGCGAAACACAAGAATCACGCCACTTTCTTGCAAATACTCGAAAATACAATAGTTGTTTCCAAATGACGTAATTTGGGGCAGACATTATCGAAGAAAGAGGATTTAATCCGACATTTAAGGTATTTATTTTTGTACTTACATAGAATGTAGTTAAAGAATAACTTACTTTATCTATTGGTATGTATTATATTTGTAACAATAAAACACTGAAAACTTTGTTTTCAAACTTCCACAAAATTTATTTTAAATATTATCACTACAGCTGTTTCGGCTGATTGCCTTTCTCATAAACGATTGCCTTTTTGATAAACGAATAGCAGAACATAAAAGGGCTTTCAAGAATAGAAAAACAGATTCGACATACGCACTTCACCTTCTAGATCATAATCATTCTTTTAATGACAAATTTAAAATTCTTCACATTCAAAATAAAGGCCTTAAGCTATCTTTGTTAGAATCTATGGAAATCAACAAATTAAAAAACACAGATATAATTCTGAATGACCAACTTGAGACAAACAGTTCTCCCCTCCTCAACCTATTTCATTAGATACTATAAATTTGTAAACCCAAGCCAAAATAGATCACTTGAGAAAGGCAATCAGCCGAAACAGCTGTAGTGATAATATTTAAAATAAATTTTGTGGAAGTTTGAAAACAAAGTTTTCAGTGTTTTATTGTTACATAAAATGAATTTCCATCAAGTAACGGTCGAATCCATCAATGTATTATATTTGCTAATACTGCTACTCTCCCACAGAAAAAGTGTTTATAACCCAGTTAATACTGTCTGGTTTTTATTTTGTAGATACAAGGACAGATTCACCATCGAATTGGATCATTACTACCTTTCGAACATACACAGAATAAATTTTTACAAATATATTTCATGGGCAACATGGAAGAACAACTTGATCGACGCCTAGGGATCAATGCAGGAATGAAGCGAGCAATTATTCAAGACTTGCAGTGTCTGCTTCATGAACATCATGCGTTGGTCAGGTTGTTTAAGAGTGTTTTTCAACAAAAAAAAGTTTATGATACTTTAATGAAGGCAATCGCTGATGAAAATGGTGGTTTATATTTCCCAGATGCCCCTGGTGGAACTGACAAGACATTCCTTATGTCATTAGTTTTAGCAACTGTTCGGGCGAGATCCAACATAGCGGTTGCAGTTGCTTCTTCTGGAATAGCAGCCACATTGTTAGAAGAATGCCGTACGGCTCATTCAGCATTCAAATTACCGTTAAATCTTCAAACTATTGAAGAACCAACGTGTAATATTGCAAAACACTCAGCAATGGCCAAAGTTTTAGCGGCATCGAAAATCATCATCTGGGACGAATGCACAATGGCGCATAAACGTGCATTAGAAGCACTTAACCGAACATTAAAAGATTTACGCAATGACTCGAGATGTTTTGGAGGAGCAATGATTTTACTGTCTGGCGATTTCCGCCAAATACTGCCAGTAATTCCAACATCTACGGCTGCCGATGAAATAAACGCTTGCCTCAAATCGTCAAATCTATGGCGCTATGCGAAGAAACTGCAGCTGACAACAAACATGAGAGTTACATTGCTTAATGATACATCTGCTGAAGATTTCTTGGAGCAATTGCTGACTATCGGTAATGGTCAAGTACCTGTCGATGAATCGAACGGATTAATATCATTTCCAAATAATTTCTGTAATTTTGTCTCATCAAAAGACGAACTTATCAATAATGTATTTCCAAATATTATTTCTAACTACAAAAATAATGAATGGTTGAGTGAGCGAGCAATTTTAGCGGCTAAGAATAAAGATGTAGATGACCTGAACTACATAATTCAAAATAAGATCATTGGAACAATGCATTCATTCAAATCTATTGACTGCGTCACAAATGAAGATGAAGCCACCAACTATCCAATTGAATTTTTAAACTCTTTGGATGTGCCTGGCTTACCACCGCACAATTTACGCCTAAAGGTTGGCTCCGTAGTAATCATGCTTCGAAACATAAACCAACCAAAACTGTGCAACGGTACGCATTTGGTGGTTAGTAAATTGATGAACAATGTAATTTACGCTACGATAATGATAGGAAAATTCAAAGGTGAGGAAGTTCTCATTCCGAGGATCCCGATGATCCCAACCGATATGCCGTTTGAATTTAAAAGACTTCAATTTCCGATACGTCTTGCATTTGCCATGACCATCAACAAATCATAAGGCCAATCCTTAAAAGTTTGTGGTTTAAATCTAGAACATTCATGTTTTTCCCATGGTCAATTATACGTGGCATGTTCACGGGTCGGAAGACCATCTGCGTTGTTTGTTTTTGCGCCTGATAATAAAACAAAAAATGTCGTGTATCACAAGGTACTTAAGTGAAGAGCAACCTATGTACTAAAATACAGAAATAATAATGAATGATTAATGTAGTTATTTAATTTTTTTTGTATTTTTTCCAAAAAAAACACAATCTGCTTATTTATTGCCATTAAGGCGGAACAAAGTTCGCCGGGTCAGCTGGTGGATTTTTATAAATCCCACTTAAATCTAAGCTGATTTTTGTCTTATCTTTTAAAATCTCAAAAGTTTTGAAACAACTCTCGTTAGTGCTTGCAAGATCCCAGTGAAATTATGATTGTGTTCATGAAGAATTGCACTAAGTGCTGGTTCATAAACATTTTCAGAGTTAACGGTGACTGGAGTTTGAGTTCTTGTTCAGTGAGAAAGTCTATAGGTATCAGTAAATGTTTCAGGGCGGTACGATAAAATCCCTGAAGCACTAAACCCTGAAACTCCTTTATCTATCGTTGCGACTTTCAAGTAATTCATTAAGAAATCTTCTAAAATTGGTTTTTTCTCAAGAATAATCATAACTATCAAGAGAGATGTGACTCCCGTGATTGTCCATGATCAATAAGACCGGATCTTCCTCTGTTGATTTTACGTTTCTTTAAAATGTGCGAGCCACTGCATGAAGAGCTCTGCATTTGACCAGCTATTATGGGAGCATTTGTAAATGGCTCCAGTTAGTCCACCTTTCTCTAACTAAGGTGACATTCTCTGATGTTGACACTTACAGTAGTAGCTAAAACCTTTCTAGGCTTTTGGACCGTAGATATACCGGTTTCGTCCATATTAAATATTCTAATGGACTTAAAAGGATGTAAATGTATATGTAACAAGACTATGCCACAGAATAATAAACAATTGTTTATTATTCTGTGACCATGCTATGAAAAAACATTTTTATGTGATTTTTATAGAAACGTTTCCTTTAGTTAGGCAATACCATTAACAAAATAATTTTGAAATGTCAAATTGTGTCAAATATTTTGGAGCAGAGCACATGTCTAATATTATTTTTATTATAACCTTAAAGTTGTCTTGTCTTGTCGTATTAATTAAAGTTATTTAAAAACAAACATTATATAATTATAGGTGAAAATATTAAGTAATGTAACAATAAAGCTATGACATTATTTCCAAAAGCAACATTATTAAATGTAGTTACCCGATTACAAGCTATACAATTAGTAAGTATGTCTTAAAAACTCTTATTGGTACTATAGCCTTTTCTAAGTTATATATGTATAACTCATCAATAACTATCAATTCTACTGTTTCTATGTAGTATTTCTCCACCCTCTTAAGATTCCTAATTTTATATTAGTATCCAAACATTAGGTATATCTAGGATTTTACTGACTTTATGTAACTAATTCCAATTGGATATCAATTTTTAAATTTTTTGTTTTGTTTTTCATTATAAGATATATTTCTATGATGATGATAAGGTACTTAGGTTCTTTTACTTTGAGGAAGTTCACGATCTAGATTAAACTGCCTTATTAATTCTGGATCACTTGTTGACTTTAGCTTCATTTCAAAAATATCACATATTTTACAAGAATCACAGGATGACATTGTACCTAGATTAAACTCCTTATGAAAAAAACGAACTTGGAAACTGAAGAGAGTGATCATTTTTGATAAACACAAATCAGGTATTGTCGATTAGGATTCTTCTTCCTCTAATAGTGTAATTGGTATGCTGGAAAAGGGTTAATAAATTATTTAACCTCAATAACTTTTTCCTCTCTAATTTTGTTTAACAGAATATATTTTGCTTTCCTATCCAGTGGTGGAGTACCCCCAGTAGCTTTATTCTTAAGAGTCCAAGTAATATGACTGTTAGAGACTTCAAAATGCATTCTTGAAGAAAATCTTGCATATTTTAACCTTATCATTATTTTCCGACTTTAAATAGTATAAATGTGTTTTCTCTTAAGGCAAAGAAGAAACAGATACTGGAACCTTTAGTATTTTCGCAAAAACTCATTTATCATAATCAAATTAAAACCTAACTAAGGAAATTAAATCTCATCTATATATAAGTTAATACCAAATGAAATACTGTTATATGAATTTCCTTAGAAACAGAAAACTGAAATAATGCTAATTATCATTATTCTTTTATTGAGAATTGGTAATTTCCAATAAACAATTTATTTGAAAAAAGACAAGACAGTTAAGATTTGATTGGTTTCGACAATTAGTTTCTGGATTTATTTGAAAAATTGTAACATTGGTTCAAAAAGTAATCACTACACATACACACATCATTGAAAGCAGCTGTATTGGTAGATGTAGTTTGAAATTGATGTCAAAATATTAATTGTTTGTAATTATCTATACTTATAAATTAGTGACGAGTACAGAGATGTAGAAAATAATATGTTCTATAACAAATTTAGAATGAAAATTCAAAATGCGTTCGAAACATAAGAAGTGTGAGGAACCACAAACAAATTAACTTTTCATTCTAACTGAGTATGGTACATACATTTCATACAGCAAATTCTCAACTGTAAACAAACGCACATGTTGATATTCACCCTCACATTCGTCAAGAGGATAAATAATATAATTTATTGCCGTAAGCCAGATGGATTCTCATTTTACAGGTCCAAACTTGCCAGTCTGTTTAAATTAAAATTGTATTTTTAGTCCATTTCTTCACGGTTTTTGGTGTTAATATTAAAGAACCGCTTGAATTGACATGAAATTTGGCATATAATTAGCTAAATTATCCTGATAAATTATTTGACAAATTAGGTAAATGTTTATGTGCTTTTTCACTTTGAGTAAATTTTAAAGTAATAAAATTTTCAGGAAAAGGAAAAAGACTAATAATCTGTCACATTAGCAGTGAAAATGGGTTTGTTCCAGAAGGGCTGTGGGTGTTTGAATTAAAAAAAAACTGGGACTACCATGAAGAGATGGATGGGAAATCTTTCGAAAATTGGTTCAAAAATATACTGTCCCACTTAGCAGACAAATACATCATTGTATTTGACAATGCATCTTATCATTCTAGAAAATTGTAAAAAATTCCAACTACTGATTCTAGAAAAGCTGACATCCAAGCATGGCTGAAATAAAAAAATATTTTATTTGAGGACTCTATGTTAAAACTGCAACTGCTGGCTATCGTTACGGAACATAAGGGACAATATTATAAATATATCATTGATGATATAGCAAACAGCCACAACAATGTAGTGTTAAGGCTGCCCCCATACCATTGTGAGTGCAATCTGATTGAGCTCATCTTATCATAACTAAAAAATTATATAGCATTCAAAAACACTACTTTTAAATTTGCAGATATGAAAAATATTTTTTATGATGCAATAAATAATATTAGTCGAAACTATGTGGCAGAAATGTGTGCAATACATTCAACAAAAATTTGAGTCCAAAATGTGGAAGTTGGACAATATAATAGAGAACCATATCAAACCCATAATAATAAATCCAGACGAAGACAGCAGCACATGTAGCTCCTCAGACTTGTGAGTAATTCAAACGGTATGCTTTTATGCTTTGATAAACTTATATAAGAATGCTACTTTATTCAAAATGTTCACTTTGTTATGTATCACTCAGTTAATGAATATTTTACTTTAGCATATTTTCTTCAATGGAACATTGAATTTTGCTCACAATGATTAAATTTCAAGAAGTTCTTACAGTAACAGTTTGAAAAGTAAATATTTTTAAATAAACATATGATACACCCCAGTATGACCATGTTTGGGTTTCAAGTGCATTTGTTGACAGTTGGGAATTTGTAAAATGAATGTAGTTTAACATAATGAATTTTCTGTAAGAGCAAAAAGTATTAATTAAAAACAATGTAATCAGAACAAGCAAACTTTTTATTGAACCGATATTATAATATATAGTTGAAGCGATAATAAGTTGAAGTAATATTTATATAGAGTTTGGACAGTTACTTATATCAAAAACTTATGAATTGGAAATATTTTCTGTAAAATTTTTCAAAACAGATTGGCAAAATTAACATCACTGCAGCCAATTCTTCTTGCTATACTACAGGTGCACAGGGGTAGAAGTTTACTGATATGTAACAATAAAACACTGAAAACTTTGTTTTCAAAATTCCACAAAATTTATTTTAAACTCTTATCATTACAGCTCTTTCGGATGATTGACTTTCTCAAGTGATCTATTTTTGACATGCGTTTACACTTTATAGTCTTTAATGAAATAAGTTGAGGAGGGGAGAACTGTTTGTCTCAAATTGGTCATTCAGAATTATATCTGTGTTTTTTAATTTGTTGATTTCCATAGTTTCTAACAAAGGCCTTTATTTTGAATGTGAAGAATTTTAAATTCGTCATTAAAAGAATGATTATGATCTAGAAGGTGAAGTGCGTATGTAGAATATGTTTTTCTATTATTGAAAGCCCTTTTATGTTCTGCTATTCGTTTATTAAAGTTTCTACCAGTTTGACTGATGTAAGTTTTTGGGCAGTCGCCACATTCAAGTTTGTACACACCACTGTGTAAGTGTTTTTTATTTTGGATTTTAAGACAATTTTATTCTTGTTGTTTTTAATATATAATAGAATAAAATAAAATTAAGTCTTAAATTTGACGAATATTAAGTAATAGACCCACAGTATGCTTATTCAATTTTTTTTCCATCTTTTATGTTATTTTTTTTACTGTAATTTATTATCAAGACATAGTTTTTTATGGAGTTTAATACATCTTTCAAAGAAAATTTGTGAAGAACCATTAATATTTGACAGTAAATAAATGTTCATCATAGTTGCACTGCCATGCTTTTGTCTGTTGAATCTAAGATAGGATAAAAAGTAACTTACTAGGGTTTAAAATAAACTCATGTGTCCTAATTGTCCAATCTATGTATCACCTTGATACCAACCATAATCATGAGACTTAGTTGCACTAACTCATTTTTTATTTTTTTAGACAAAATATTCCGTCAGTTCTTCAAAAAATGTAGAAACATTTAATTTTCGATCTAATTTCACAGAAGATGAGCAAACAAAGATTTTGAATGTTGTAAATGATCCTGATACAAATTTATTATCAAAGTAAGTTGAACTACTATTTTATTCCCATAAGTACAAATTGTATATACAAACGGGCACGGGCAAACACATCCTTCATTCATCTACCTGGTCGTCATCATCCGTTCCAGATGATTCGGTTTTCTGGTTATCTGCCATGGCTGCATCACTTGTGAGACGGGTGTAAAAAGCCATTTGGCCATAGGAACGAATCGTGTTGCCAACTGCATTACATCTGCACATTTGGCTTTTTTGACAGGTATAGGATTGCAATAGACGGGAATATCAGAAGAAACTGAGAGGTCGCTGTCGAGTTTTCTCAAGATTTGGAATAAGTGAAAACTCAGAAGGCCAGTAGATATACAGACTTTAATACTATCCAAATGTTCATTGCTGTACTGGAAAATTCGGTATTTGGAAATCTGGAATCTTTGCTTTTCTGAATCTAAGAGAACTTTTTTAAAAGTTATATACCAGAATGGAAATAAACTGTTGGGATGATTGTTTAACAAAATCAGTATATTGTTGAGGGCTGAAAATGTAGTCCTTCTTCCTTAAAAACTTCTCAATCTCTCCAAAGCAGCGATCACAGGGGAAGAAAGCTATGTCCTGTATCTTGTCAATAGACCTAGTTCTCACCAACAAATACAGAAACCGAATCATTACTGAGTTTTTGTTTTGCGCAGCACCGTTATCGGAGAAATGGTATAAAACTTGTAACATTTTTAGGGAGTATATTTTTTATATAGTGGTACAAAAATGACACTACCTCGTTTGGTGACTTTCGAGCCTTAGTTTCATCATACATATAAAAGTGTTCTTGATTTGTCTCACCAGAATGGACGCAGAAGTTGTATGTCCACAACTGGCGTTTGTAGAAAGCTTCCCCAGCAGGAAATTTTGGAAGTGGAAGGTTTTGTTGAAAGTCGAAGGTCAGAACCTCCACTTCGTCGCTATGCTTGCACAATGTGGTTTTCTCCTTCAGCTCCTTGAAAAACAAATCGGCCTTAATTGCATGCAACTTCTTTTTCGCTGCTAAAATTTTTGTTTCATTTTCGTCGAGGGTCACATCTTTGAGTTTGTTATCTAAGACATCACATTTTTTGCACTTATCTGATCGAGGTGAGCCAAACCTGTAGTAGAAGTTTTCTTTGAAGTATCGATAGTAGAAGTTATAGGGAACTTTGGGTTTATATTTAAGATTGCTAACACTTTCTGGTTCATAAAGTTCCAAATAGAGTTGATGCATCTTCGTTACCTACATTTAGGTCTGGAGATAAATAGAATCGACGGGATTTGTTTCTACTATAATGCAATTCATGCCTTGGAAAGCTCTGAATGTGCATGTTCACATTTTGGAGTGTTTCCTTAGATTTTCGGTTGAGTCTATTTGTATGCTTTCCTTTATGACTGTCTGTATTGCAGGTGGCGCTGCAATATCTGTCACGAAAAGTTTGAACTATGAGATCTACACGTTTCCTTGATATGCCGTGGATTGAACAAAAAGCATGTCTACAAACTTGTAGACATACTTTTGTATACATTTGGTATACATACGTTTCTACCCTACAAACCAATATTTGTAGGGTAGAAACAATTGTAGGGTTTCTACATTTGTTTACGTAGCTAGTTTCAACTACGTTTAATGTAAGTCATCATCATTTAACCCGGATCTATCTACTGCTGGATATAGGTCTCCCTCAGTCTTTTCCATGTATTTCTGTTTTGTGCTGTTTGCATCCAATTTTTGTCGATCCGTTTTATGTCATCAGACCATCTTGTTGGTGGACGACCTCTACTTCGATGTGCTTCTTGTCTCGGTCTCCACTGTATGATTCGCTGTGTCCATCTGTTATCCGACATTCTAGCTATGTGCCCCGCCCAGTTCCACTTAAGGGTCATAATTCTTTCTATGGCATCTGTCACTCCTGTTCTCCGTCTTATTTTCTTGTTCGTGATCCGATCCCTACGAGAAATGCCTAACATCGATCGTTCCATGGCTCTTTGGATAACACAAATTTTATTTCTTACTTTCTTGGTTAGTGTTAATGTCTCTGCACCAGATGTAAGTACTGGCAACACGCACTGATCAAAGACTTTTCTTTTAAGATACAGGCAGTTCTGATTTAAGAACATAGCTCAGCTTGCCGAATGCCACCCAAGTGAGTCCTATGCGGCGGCTTAGTTCGCACGTTTGATTATCTCTTCCTATGCGTATCTCATGTCCCAAGTACTTATAAGAGGTGGTTTCTTCAATATGCATGTCATTTACTGAAATCTTTTCGCTTAACACAAGATTTGGCATGATTTGTGTTTTTGTGTGGTTGATTTTTAATCCAACTTGTAGGGAGGCTAGGTATAGTTTCTTCAGTTGCGATACTGCATCATCGATTCTGTCAGCAAAAAGGACAATATCGTCAGCAAACCTCAAATGACTAAGCATTTCTCCATTGACATTAATTCCTTTTTCACTCAGATTTGCGTTCTTAAACATATGCTCTAATAATGTTGTAAACAATTTTGGCGAAATTGTGTCTCCCTGTCGCACTTCCCGTTTTATTTTAAATACGTTGGTCTTTTTATCTGCCAGTTTCACGCTTGCTGTCCCATTTTGATAGATGTATTTTATCATGTTTATATAGCGATGATCTATACAGCACTCTGTTACGGCTTTTAACATCTTTTGATGACTTATTGTGTCGAAAGTTTTTTCGTAGTCAACAAATATCATGACTAATGGCTTGTTATATTCAACACTCTTTTCTATTAAGTTCTTAATTAATCATTCGTGCCATATCCTGCTCTAAAACCTGCTTGCTCTCTTGGCTGATAAAAATCCAACTTACTTCCTAGCCTGTTGGTAATAACTCTTGTAAATAGCTTATATACTTCTGACAACAAGCTAATGGGGCGGTAGTTTCTAAGGTCGCTGATATCTCCTTTCTTATGAAGTAAGATGATTTCCACGTTGTTCCACTGCGTCGGTGGTATTTTGTAATTTAACAGACAAAACTTTATTGTATGTTTTATATCATTTTAAATTGGAAAAATACTTTCAGGTTTTTTTACTGATGATGGTTCGACTAAACCGAAAACGTTTTGAATATTTGTAATCCTTTTAGATAAATTTTTAAATTGTTTTTAATAAAAAATATAGCATTATACACAAGAATTTCTTACTTCTATGTACATTTTTTAAACTATGGTGTAGAGCCAACCACTGGGATTTTCCCCTTTTACTTTGAAATTTTTGATGTTTTGGTGCTAAAGTTTTAAAATGTACATTGAACGTTTTTTTATGTAAATGTGCCTTGTGTAAGTGTAACTGTACCTTTAGAATATTCAATACATAATGGATATTTTTTTAGATTTCATATACCACAAAACAGGATTAAAAGTATCGAATCATGGAAAAACAAAAAGGGCCCATTTAGATCCTTAAGCGAAATCTTAGAAGTGGATGGTTTAGGTGAAAAGATGTTACATAAAATGTGTGAAGATATAATGAAATGTGATAAACCAATTGATCAGTTAGCTGTAAATAATAATAATGGCAAGAACAAGAGAAATAAGCAAATAGTGGTACCGCCTATTAATGGGAATATAATAAATGTAGGTTGGATGAGATCGTCATTCTTATTCCCTTGACTTAAGAACACTTCCCTATATTCATATCTTAGATCATGCAAATATTAATTTAGATCTAGAGGATTCCCTTCAACTGTTTCCCGCCAAATATTATTTATCCTATCTACTTTACTCGTTCAAGATGCTTGAACGTTATTACTCTTACACCTATTAATTTTTAATTATTTACTTTTTCTTATTTTTTATTTATTTCCTTATAAATATAAAAGTTATTTGTTATTCTCGTTCAATACGAATATCTCTGTATTTCCGTAGAGATTAATAGGATTTGGATGTTATTAATACGTTTTTTATGAAGACTGAATACCATTATGTTACCTATAGTAGCGGAAGAAATGAAAGTTAGGTAGATTTTGGACTGTGTAAAAAAGCCAGCTAAAAGAGGTTACCAACTGTAAAGTTATAAATGGTGACTGTATAACTGGTCAAGGTGACAGTGGTAGTGAATACGGAGAAAAAGGTGAGGCGGAAAGAAAGCAAGTAGGATACCAGAAAGTAGAGTGGTGGAAGTTAAAGGATAAGAATTTGACAAAAGCCTTTAATAGTAGATTTCTGGAATAGTTTGAGGAAAAAAATACGAAGAAAGAAAGAAAGAAAGCCAACAGCAAAGTTGTGGTACGGGTAGGAGACGAAGTGCTAGGAAAAACGTCTAGTAATGGGCTTCCAAGGGATAAAGAAACATGGTGCTAGATCGATGAAGTGCAACAGAAGGTTAGGCAAAAGAAAGATGATAGATATATGACAGGTCTAAAAGAGAGAAAGATAAAGATATATAAAAGGAAGCAAAACGCGCTGTAGCTACTGCTAAGTTAAGATCGTCTGCACAGCTGTAGAAGAAATGGAAACACCCGAGAGGATGAAAAGGTTATACAGCATTGTAAAAGCAAGGGACAAGTCAAGAAGTGTTAAGAACCTATGTTGAAATAAACCAAAGATGGTATGAGTACTTTAGAAAGTTGTTAAATGTATTACACTAGAGAAGAGACCAAGGATGCGGGATCTTAAATGAAAATATAATACCGGGAATAGTGAGAGATTAGGTTGTCGAGACGTTAAATAAGATAAAGAATGGTAAGGCAGTAGGACCCGATGGGATACCTGTGAAGGTTTGGAAGGCTGTAGGAGTGGAAGGGGTCGATGGTTTGTGGCAAATGGAAGAAAGGAAGCCCAATGCATGAGGAGAGAGTGTGATGGTATCACTATATAAAGATAAAGTAAATGGACGCAATGAAAAGTTGGGAGAGAACTGTAGAGCGAAGGTTAAGGACTAACAGTTTAGGTTTATTCCAGGAAGGAGAACAACGAATGCCTTGCTTGCTTTGAGACAGTTGATACGGCGAGAAGAAAAGAGAGCTACATTTGGTATTTATAAATCTTGAGAAGGTGTACGGCACAGTTCCTAGACAAGAGCTATGGAGATGTATGAGAGAGAAATGGGTCCCTGAGAAGATCATGTATCCCTGTGAAGAAACACATAGGTCACTGAGTCCCTACCTGTTTAATCTTCTTATGGATGTACTGACAGAATTTAAGTTGGGGGCTTCTTGTTCGATGCTCTTTGCAGATGTATGTATGTGTAGAACATCAAAGAAATGTTGGCGCAGAAGTTGGAGAGATGAAGAAGAGCTAATGGATGAGGGGGGACTTAAGGTTAGCAGATCTAAAAGTATGTATGGTTGGGAGAATCAGGAATAATTGGGGACATTGTTTGGAGAAAAACTAGGACGAGTAGGAGAATTTAAATTCTTGGCTCCTGCATAACGGAAAATGAGTCTCTGGATCGAGAAATTTCCCACAGGATACAGGCTGAGTGGTTGAACTGGAACCGAATGAGCGGGGTACTCTGTGATCGAAAAATCGGAGAAGGGCTGAAAGGAAAGATATAGAAAAGTATGGTGAGGCCTGTGTTGTTGTATGGTGGTGAAGATAATTCAGGAAAAGAAGATGGAGGTAGCTAAAATGAAAATGTTGTGGTGGATGTTGGGTAAGTCTAGAAGGTATGTAATCAGGAACGACTTGATTAGGGAGAGAGCCGGAATGACTACAATCTCAAAAAAGATTGAAGAACAAAGACTGCAATGGTTTGGTCAGGTCAGACGTAGATGTGAAAAGTATGGAGGACGAAGAATAGAGCTATTAGAAGTTGATGGAAAGGTTAAGAAAGATTAAGAAATAGCGACCTCTGAAAAGAGAAAAGTAGTTCCGTAAAGAACCTCATCGCCTATTTTTGTATTCTTTCCATTCTTTCTTCTATTTCTTCCACTTTTCCTATAAGGTTTCCAAATAATATCAGAGCGGGAGTAGGTTTTGAGTACCCGTATGGAAAATATTTCATTAATTTTAAATGGTAGAAATTGGAAATTTACATAAAAACCTTAAAAAATATTGATTAGTTTTTTATAGATTTTTTTTGTTTTATTATTTGATATTTCAACTTATTGTTTTTATATATAGTATTTTTTTAGAATTTATCTACTGCAGTAGGTATACATTTAAGTCCAATAGGTATCAGTTGGGCAAAAATATCAAAAGAAAATAATAAATTAGTTAGCTGGAACTATGACAACTTTAGTTGTTTGCCAAATAAACTACTGCCGAATGAAACATTTGACAAGGTAAGATATGTTACTATTGTTTTGATTTTATCTACAATATTTTATAGGCAAATTTTTACAGCGTCGTTTTGTCAATATATGGAGAGTTGGTAGACAAGTTTTGATGAGGTATTTGGAAAATCATGAAAATTTGTGTAAATAATTTTTGGCAATATCTTCTTCTTTATGTATCATGTCGTTTTTGAAGGTTGGTTACCATCATAGCTATCTTAATTTTATTTATTGCCCATATATATATATATATATATATATATATATATATATATATATATATATATATATATATATCAATACTATACCAATCCCGCAAGTTCTTCAGTGCATTTTTGGCAATTCTTTCAGAGTAAATGTTGAAAGCAAGGAAGACAAGAGGTATCCCTGCCCTGGGCGACAAGAAGCATCCCTGCCGCTCTCATCTTTTAATATTAAGAGCTTGTGATTCCAACCGTCTACTAAAACAGTTATGCGAACGTATCTGCCATCCAAACCAATGTATCTTAGAACTTCTATGAATATATACTGCTGGACACAGGCAAATGCCTTTTGGAAGTCAATAAAACAACAGTAAATGTCTACAGATGTCAGGACATTTTTGACCCATCCAAACTGTGTCTCACTTAGGTATTCCTCGCATTTCTTATAGATACGGCCATGTATTACCTTTAGAAATTTTTTTAATAAATGACTTAACAAACTAATGGTTCTATAATCAGCACAGGTTTTTGTTGTTATCTTCTTAGGTAGAGCTATGAACAATGAATTGGACCAACCATTAGGTACGTGTCCGATGGTATAAATGGTATTGAAAAACGAAGTTTGCTATCGTTTATAAGCTTATATACTTTACTAAGAATTTCATAAGGACCTGCTTTGCCATTTTTGTGGTGATTGTATAGCTTGTGTTACCTCAGAGCGTATTATTAGTGGTCCGTCTCAGTTAGTAATATCCAGAGGTGAATTAATCCTATCGTCTTCGATTAGGATCGTAATGTAATTTTCCCAGGACATTTTTCCAAAGTTTGTCCTCCACTTCAGATATTAGTTTACCATGTTCATCATGTAGCGGTGCAGTTTGTCTCTTATTTTTATACATGTTAAACGTGTATCTATTTTCGAGTTCTTCAATTTCATGACTCTTTTAGTTAGATTGTGACTTTGCTTCTCGTATTTTACGTCAAATTTCTTTTTGTATTCTTTTATTAAGTTTTTCGTTATTTTTCTCCATCAAATCGAATATGTTTTCCGTCATCCAAGCCTTTTGTTTTAGCTTTGAGCTGCCTTTTAAATTCCTTTTGCAGGTTTCCTTAACTGTTGTTTTAATTTTATCTAAACTCTCTACTAAATTCTCGCCAATGTTTTCCCCAAATATTTGGGGATTATATCAATATTTTGGCGAGACTTCTTCTTGGTCACCTTTTTAATTTTAATTAGGTTACAGCTACTATGGGATTGTGATCATATCCAATGTTTCACTTATCCAATACCTGTATAAGTTTTTGCCGATTTAATGTCGTTTCTAAATCAAGTTTTTATTAGAATGAAGTCGATTTGGTTCCAAATAATTTTATTCTCTGATTCTGCATTTGACTTCCAGGTATAGAGTTTTCTTGGTGGTAATTCGAAGTGAGTATTCGATATAATGAAATCGTGTTATTGACAGAACTGTCGATGTCGATGTTCATTTCTGTTTCCCCATAATATTCCAACAGCCTCCTTTGCCGATTTTGGCGTTAAAATCTAGAAGGACTATGCTATTTTCTGCTGCTTTAACAAGATCCAAAGCATCAGTAAGATCTTTGTAAAATGCATCTCAATTATCTTCACCACTGGATGATGGGGCATAGACCTAAATTACGTTGGTAATGAACGACTTTGAATTAAATTTCAGTGGGATTACGAGTACTCTGTCAGATATGGGGATATAATTTACTATTGATTATCTCACAACTCCATTACTGTGATTTCGTTATTTCCATTCCATATGGCTATTTTGTAAGAATTTCGCATATTAACGACCTGAGAGGCCATGCAGTCTTGAGATTGTCCGCTCCTGCCGGATCTTGGGTTCCGAGATCCATGATCATTAATGTTTCGACTCAAATTATTTATAGCCAGGATAGGTAGTTAAAACTAGGAGTACCAACAGGCTTTTAATGCAGTAGTTCTCCTTTGCTTTCTGCATTCTTACGTCGTTGACTAATTATTAGTTCATCCGCCTTCGGAACCGATTTCTTAATTCAAGGACAAAAGAGTACCCTACCACTTACTAACTCATCCCCCCGAAACCTTTGGTCAGTAAGTGGGGATTGCTTATACCGGCAAATACTCGGATGTCAGAGCCTTGTTTTTTATCTTGCAGGATGCACCGGATGATCAGAATCAAGATCATCACACTGGCAGGTGAGGTTGATATTTGGATCATCATCATCATCAACAGCTATTCCATCCATCGTCAGATGTAAGCCCCTTAGATGTGTCCATTCATTTGTTTGTTGTTTTTTTTTTTGTTGAGATTTGGATAGGAGAGGCTATATATTGCGCATAACTATACCTGGCGTCTCTTAGCTATATCTTAACACAAAAGTAATAAAAATAAGACAAATAAAATGTCTGTAGACATATTTCGCATTGTACTAACAGACCGTTTACATGAGATGGTAGACAACTTCAACTAGTTAGCCTGCAAAACACTTATATTCCAGGGTGAAAAGTGTTTTGTCTTAACACTGAAAGAGCTAGGCTACTGAAAGGTTTTTTGATGTTTATTTGATGATAATACTTAGACAAACATGTTCTAACCATTTCCTGCTTGAGATTTATTGATAATTTTTATTTATAAACAAATTAGTGTGAAAAAATATACTTTTTTAAAGGCAATCGTAGCCGTCTTTTAGATTTAGACTCTAAAAAAGCTTCAAAATGACGATTTGTTAAAAAAATCTATACGTATTTGTTGTTGTTTTTTTTAATAGTCAATGTTTGGATCCTTTTCTATATGTTTTGAGTCTATTAGTTCCTTTACCTCCGTTCTTTGAGCTCTTTTAAAGCGCCATATCTTTCCTTTTGAAGACCATAAAAATTTTACTTCGTCTCGTATGTAGATAAATCTTTTAATAGAATTCCCGATATTTTTTTCAAAAACGTGTAAAGCATTTTGTAAATATGATTTATATAAACTTTCATGCTACCCCAAATACTCAAATTTTTCTACCAGCTGTTGGGTTTTTAAACTATACTAGAAAACGAATAGAATATTTACTGCGTTGAAAGAGGTATCTGTTTTATGTTGATTTTAATTAATTTACATTTAAGATAATTATTAATAGCTTTTATTTTGTTTTTAGACTATTCAAATTGTACGAAAAATACCACCAAGTGATGTCTACGTATTTGAATCTAGTCCATCAATGGGCCCTCAAGCATCAACATCAGTGAGCTTAGCATCATCATACAACCAACAACTCGAATTAAATGCAATGCTACTAGCTCTTTTAAATACTAGTGTCAATCATAATATTACTTTACAGAGTGCCTGTAATAGAGATAACCTTTCAACAACAACAATAGAAAATAGAGTATTTTATTTGAAGTCCAGAATATCGGCTAGGTAAAATATTGTAAACTTTTTTTTTATATTATACACGATTTCGGAAAACTTAGTCAACAAGGTGCTGTCTTTGAAATTATTAAACTTATGAGTTTAGGGAACCCTTCAACTTTTTATGGCATCACCATTTCTTACATCACAATTGATTGTAATTAAAATTTCAACCAACTATTGTAATAAGATACGAGGTTAAGCGAGCAAAAGAGGACTGTATGGAACAGAGATGTCGTGAGATAAAAAAACTACAACTACTCAAACCGAACATGTCGTACATTGATCGTCAAATCACCCTTTATCACATAAATTATCTGTATTCCGGAGTTTTATTCACAGCTCAAATACTATACAATTGTTAACTCAATACTATAATATAAATTAAATATTATTAAACAAATTGCAGTTAGCAAGGGTTATAACCCAAATATCATTCATAGGTGAACCCATAAAAGATAGGTAAACTCTTTTAACAATCAGCCTTTCCTTTAGATTCTTCCATTTTCCCTTCTTCTTCTTCAAGTGCCGTCTCCATCAATGGAGGTTAGCGGTTATGGTGGCAAACGTTTGTCTATCTTCAGCTGCTCTTAAGAGTTCTTCAAATCCAAGTCCCGTCCAGTTTCTGATATTACGTAACCAGGACAATTTTTTTCTTCCAATTCCTCGCTTTCCTTCTATTTTGCCTTTTATTATCAACTGAGGGATGTAGTATTTCTCGTTGCGCAACCAATGCCCTAAATAACTGGTTTTTCTTCTTTTGACTGTTCTCAATAGTTCTTTTTCTAAATTGAGTCTAGCTAGTACTTCTTCATTTGTTTTTCGTGCTGTCCAAGGAATTTTTAAAATTCTACGGTACACCCACATTTCAAATGCCTCGATTCTATTCAGGCTTTTTATTTTTAATGTCCACGTTTCGACTCCGTAGAGAAGAACAGACCAGATAAAACATTTTACAAGTTTTAATCTCAATTTAATATTTATATGTGTATCGCAGAATAGAACGCGCATCTTAAAGAAACTATCCCTAGCTTGAGCAATTCTCGCTTTAATTTCTTGTTCTGGGTCCAGCTTGCAATTAATCCAACAGCCAAGGTATTTGTATTGGTTTACCTGTTCTAAAATATTCCCATTTATTTTTATAGGTAAGGGGATATTCTGTTTTCTTTGGATCACCATTATTTTTGTTTTTTTTTTTCGTTTATCTTCATTCCAAACTCTCGACAAGCATCCTTAAGGTGGTCTATAACCCTCTGTAAGTTTGTGTCTGTATCAGCCAGTAGGACAGTGTCATCTGCATATCTTATGCTAGATATTGGTTCTCCATTAATTTTTATTCCTGTGGAAAGGTTTTCCAAGGCTTGCTTGAATAGTAGTTCCGAGTAAAGATTGAACAGCATAGGGGATAGTATGCATCCTTGCCTTACTCCTTTATTTATACTAATATTTCTAGATGCATGATCGTCGATCCTAATCTTGGCACTCTGCCTCCAATATAAGTTCTTAATTAATCGGAGATCTTTACTATTCAAGTTGATGCTCTGCAAGGAATTTAACATTTTATTATGGTTTACGCGATCAAATGCCTTTTCAAAGTCTACAAAACATAGAAAGACATCCTTTTGTTGGTCGTAACACTTCTGCAGCAGTACTTGTAATGAAAACAAGGCCTCTCTGGTCCTCATTCCGGCTCTGAATCCAAATTGATCGTATCCAACTTCTTTTTCACACCTTTTGTATACCCTATTGTGAAGTATTTTTAATAGAATTTTAAGCACTTGGCTCATAAGACTTATTAATCTAAAATCTGCGCATCGCCTGGAGTTAGCTTGTTTTGGAATGGGAATAAAAATAGATTCTAACCATTCCTCTGGTATTTCCCCAGTATCGTAGATTGTATTAAACAAAATTACTAACAAATCAATGTTATTACTTTCGATCAATTTAAGTATTTCAGGATAAACTTCATCAGGTCCAGGGCTTTTGTTGGTCTTTAATTGTTTAATGGCATATTCCACTTCGACTTTTAGAATTGGTGGGCTTTCAGTAACATTATTTATTGTAATGTCTATTCTTTCATCTCGGAACAGCAGTTGTATAAATATATAAATATAAATATATAAATTTTCCCTATCTATGCATAATTAACGATTCATCCTAAAAAACTTTCAGAAAAAATCAAACACACTCTTATACGCTCACTTGACAATACCCACATTTATTTTAAAGGGCACTTTAAACCGAATTTTAACTAACACCAAAGATTAAATTAATTTTATGAATCGTAGCGGGGCCTATAAATTATCATGCTCTTATTGCTATGCTACCTACATTGGCCGAGCATATAGGTCCTTGTCCACAAGATTTTTAGAACATTCAAAGAGAGAAAATACTTCTGCGTTTTTTCATCATTTAGATAGGAAGAGAAGACCCAATTGTGTTAATCATCATACCTCCTTTAATCGAGACGTAGCCGTTGGCTAAGATGACCAGGTCATCCGCATAACTAGGACATGATGTCTGTCGTTGTCGAGTCTAGCTATCCGTCCATCCATAACCAGATTCTGCAAGAGAACGGATAAGCCTTCCCACTGAGGAGAGCCTCGGGCTACCTGTGCTGACGCTGTATCCCTCAGTAACGTTGCTTACATCACACGGTTCCTAAGCATGCAGCTTGTTTCGTCTATTCCTTTTAGACGAATCGTCCTAGTGATTGCTTTGTAGATGTTGTCGAATTCCCTCTAAATCGAGAAATGTATCGGACTTTCAACCATCCATAATGTGCTTATCGATCAATTTTTATAGAGTCTTTAGCACAAAATGACATCAGGACTTTTCGGCATCAGAGAATTAGCTTTTTCCTGTCTGGTTTTGACAAGTTTGGATATAAAGCATATATAGCATGCCAAAAGTAATAAAGCACCTGGACCAAATCAAATGTTGCTGAGCTACTTAAACTTTTGAACATTACCTACTAGGAAAACATTACTTACGTAACCACTTTAATAAAATTTACAAACAAGGAAAAATACCAACTGATTGGTTGAAGTGACTGTTTATAACATTACCAAAGAAAAGCAGGCCGACCAAATGTAGCGACTTTAGACTGATCAGTTTGATGAGCCACAAACTTAAGACACTTTTACGAATTATACAAAAATGAATATTCCTTCTATGCGAAAGTAGAATGGCTAATAATCAATTTCGATTTAGAAATGATCTAGGATCTAGAAAGGCACTATTGTATAAGTGCGTTCTCTTAAAAAAGTTGTGAGTTCCAAAAGTATGTTTAAATATGTTTCATCGACTTCGAGAAGGCATTCGACTTTGTACAACACCGATTACCTACAAGGAGCAAGACTGCTAAAATACTTATATATGTATAGGTATTACAATCGAATAGCCTCTATCAAAATTAGAAATAGTGGCACTGAAAAACTACCCATCAAACGTGGAGTACAACAGGGTTGTGTTTTATCGCCCAGTCTTTTTAATTTCTACTCTGAAAAATCTTTAGGAATGTTTTAGATGACAGACAATAGGGAGTAAGACTGGGAGAAGTAATCAACAATATCAGATACGCAGGAGAGAATCTAACCTGCTGTCACCCAATATGTAGCTTCTTCAAATTTATAATAATTTTTAAACTGTTTGACCTTTGTCTCGTGTTGTGTAAATGTATTAGTTAATGTTTATGACATTCACCAAATTATTGGATAGCCTAATTTTGACGAACTGTCTCTGAATATGCTCTAGGAGCGAAAGTACTTGGGCAAGATTTAATAAAAAAACTGCTCGACATTTGCCTTTTATTTGATGAAACTTCATAAAGAATTAAACGAGATAATTTCAAAAACTCTTATTTTTACAATAATTTATAAATATTAATAACTTTGTTTTTGGCATAATGACATGTAATGTAACTACTCCAAAATTGTGTGGATGTTAATGAGTTATTGAGTGCGCTAAATTTCAAACAGATAACCAAATAGTTTATAAATTATTCAATTTGTTTATTCCGAAGAGCGATTATTTAAACAACTGTACTTGCCCAAATAATCACTCTGAGGTATGACTTTTTAGCTTATAAATATTTATAATAACTTTGACATTTTTTGTGTCACACGCTTGTAAGTAGGCTCAATGAAAAACTGGTGAAAACACACATTTTTCAAAAAAAAAACAGAACCTTCTAAGACCTATAGGAAACAAGATAGCATTTTTTTAACCATACTTTCATTGTAACATTAAAAGCTGAAACTTGAACATATTTTAAATGAAGATCTAAATTTTATGATCCAACTTATAGATGGCATGCACAGTGAAGAAGTAAAAAGTTATAATCCGTTAAAGATCAGCCCTTTTTCAAACTGTTTTTTTTTTTAATCAATTTAATAAAATGTTAAAGTTATTTTAATATACATTAAAAATAAGGCTTCAAAGAATCGATTGAAATTTACAAAATACCTCTAGAGCGAATGTTAGGGCAAGTACAGTTGTTTAAATAATCGCTCTCGGGGATAAACAAATTATCTAACTTAGATTTTTTGCTTAGCAAGCTTTCTGCGGACTGTCATATCAGAAACTGGCATCCCAGCTTCACGAATAAGTCCCGTGAGGATTTTTTGTGGGTTCTTTCTGTTGTTTACAAAGATATCCCTCATTTTTCTCTCGTCTCTGGGTGTAGTGACACGCTTTCGACCACATTTTTGGACACGTTGATGAGTCAGAGTCAGAGGTTTGTTGGTATCAATTTTTTTCTTGATATTGCTCACTGGTTCCTTGCGTTAAAAGTCTTTAGCCTTACCCATTAAGATTTTATTCTCAAAAATCAATATTTTGTGAGAATGTCTTTAAAATTAAAACTGATAGTTTTTTTCACTTTATTAGTCACCACTAATAAATTATTAAAACATACTACATGGATAAAACGATATTAATATTTCAAAAACAAAATAAAGACAGACAAATTCAATTCTAACCACCAAGCGCAAATTCACCACAATGTGTATGTTGCGACATAATTTGACACAAACGGCAGTTATAGAGCCGTCAAGATTAAAAAAGTAAAGTTATTAGTGACAAAACATCATCGAGCAAAAAGACAAAAGAGGGAATCTAATCCTCATGAAAGGGAGACCAAAAAAGTGGCCTCTGGTGGCAGACATATCCGGAAATGCGAATGCGCCAAATTTAAATTTTCCGACACTTATTAACAGTAGCTATATAATATTTTTCAGAATGTGTCTTAGACTATAAAGTTTTAATTAATTATTAACGATAATAGTCTAAAATGTGACACAATTGTTAAAAAACTTCAATATAAATAAGATTTCATGTGACATTTGGGACAAACAATAACATAACCAAACTAAATTTGATGTCAAACAAGGAGAGAGACTCTCTTTCCTTGTTTAATGTGGCGTCTAAAGATCGCACTTATTGTCTAACAATATTTTTGCCCCCACTACCTTTACATTCCCTCTTTTGTCTTTTTGCTCGATGGACTGATTATAATACTTTCATCACCTACTACTACTATACCTTCAAATATCTGTATAAGATTTTTTCTTTCTTGACTGGGGTATATGGACCGTACTTAAAAGAAGCCAATTTATTTTTTTTTCAATTTTCTACATTCTGATCTTTTAATTCTGAATTCATTTGTATTTTGTTAATCTCTGTCAAAAATCTAGTATTACCTACCTCAGTATATTTCGTAAAAAAAGAAAGAGCTATTATTTCACCAGACGTACATCTAAGATAATTTTTGCAATTCAACGGTTGCCATTTTGAAACACAGAAATCTTAACAATCTTATATTATTGATATTTTATCCTTTTGTGACAAATTTCATACAGGAATATCTTAGTTTGACAGAATTTGAGTGCATAATAATTATTTAATTAATTATCTTTGTTGCATAATTGAAAATTGTTTTAATTGTAGGTTGTTTAAAACGTTGGTAGGACAAGAAAAAGTTGCTGCTGCTACGACAATTAATCAGCTCTTACAAAGTAATGAAGAAACGACAAACAGTTCACTGCCTTGTACGCCGATCACGGTGGAACAACAATTGAAAAACGCATTTAGTAGCCAATCACCTGCCAATAAAGAATTGCTGGGACAAGCTCTAATGTTAGTTATCACCTTTATGGATTTGTGTATTTACAAAAATCCTTGTTCATTAGCAACTGTTTATAGTACCAATAGAAAAATTAAAAAATAGATATATGTGTTATTATTTATCGTTAAACATGAAATTTGGGGTAGTGAATTTTGATCAAAAGTTAGATTCTATTTTTGATTTTTTTTAATACAGTGGGATCTGTGCTGTTATCTGTACGAAAAACTACTTACACCTTCAAATCTTCATACCGAGAGCAGCAGATTTTTGAAAATATCCATAATTTAAAACTAGAATACAAAGAGGGCGAAAAGGATGTTAGAAACAGCAGAGATGAAGATACTTAGAAAAATTGAGGGAGAAATTGAAAGGTGTAGAACATCAAGAACTGTCTAAGAAATAGAAGAGTGGAATGGAACGATCGTATAAGCCGAATGACAACTAGAGTAGTAAAGACGGCAAGAGACGGTTTCCCAATATTAAGACACCGAAAACGATGGAACGAGAACTTATTGGAGGCCCATTGAAAACCAGACAGAGTCACGTTTACATAAAAAGAAGAAGAAGCAGTCGCAAGAAGATAAAGGTGGAAAACAAATAATTTTACATAAGAAAGCCCTGAAATTAGTATCTCCATCACCAGAGAAAAAACCCAGTACCTTCTGCTCGATTACATATATAAGCAAAATATCAACAAAAATAGCCAAACACAAACAAAGAAAGGAATAACACCAGCTTTCCGAACAAATAACAACCTAGGCAAATATATTAAAAACAACAAGAGGCAAAATAAAAAAAACACTTACACAGTGGTGTATACAAACTTAAATGTCGCGACTGCCCAAAAACTTAAATTGGTCAAACTGATTTTAACCCATTAGCGCCTGAATTATTTTTTTGTTAAATATTTGTATAAAATATCTTTTATTTTAAAGTTATATGTTTATTTATATAAACTATGTAAAAATTTCTTTTTTTTGCAAGGGTGTCCTTAGGCGACCCTGTGTTCATATGATCACACTAGGCGTATATGGGGTACAAAAATACTCTTTCTGATAAAAATTTATTTTTGATTACATTTTATGAAAAGTTCCGAAACAATCGATACAGAGCCCGACGTTACACTTTCCACATTGTGTTCGAACAGTTTTCTTGCAGCTCAATCCACAGCACTGTCTTCTGTTACAAGGCTCCACCAAATGGTTTCTTCCATCAAGTCTTATATCTCTGCAAATTTTGCTATCTAGTTCAGTTCTGAATCGACGCGGACGACCGGCACCTCTGGTAGCAACACCATATTTCTGCAAAATAACCTGAACGATGCTTCTTCTAAAGTTCAGCTGAGGCATATCACAACCAGATTTTCTTTTTAACACCCAGGCGTTATGAATGGATGCATCCAAAAACCATGTAAATATAGGCCACCACCACTTTTTACCACGAATAGATATTCGATAACACGAAATATTTTGGTCCATTTTATCTGTACCGCCCATGTGTTTGTTATAATAAGTAAATAATGATGGACGCATAACTGAAATTTTCTTTTTCTCCTCTCGAGAATAACGCTGGACATATGTAGTTGGTTGAACACCATAAGCTGTAGATGCAGCGGCCACAACTGAATTGTCCAACCATTTTATGACAATTATTCCATTTTTTCTATCTAATTGAAAAGCATATTCCCCGTGGTTTTCCTTTTTCATTTGCTTATTGGTTTTTATGTTACAGGTTTTTGGAATCCTATTTTCACGGATAGTTCCCGTTCCGTGGTATCCTCTGTTCCTAAGCTCTTTCAACAATAGCATACCAGTAAATAAATTATCGAAATAAATATGCATAGGTAAACTTTTATATTGATTTGGAAAAGTGTCAAGCATTTGTACCAAGGGCGCAGCACACTTTCCAAATTTATTATCATAGTCATTATTGCTATGAGGGTTTTGACCTTGGTAAATATCAAAATTTATAAGATAGCCATCAGAAGTATTTAGACTCCATACTTTATATCCAAATCTAATAGGTTTATTTCGAATGCATTGCTTGCAACCGTGCTTACCAAAATATTCTATCATTGACTCATCAAAACAAATATGTTGTTCGGGTTCATACAGTTCTGCAAATTTATTTTGTAATATATTTGCCAATGGTTTTAGCTTCCACATTTTATCCACCATTGATGGAAAATTATTATCTGCAAGGTGTAAGTATCGTGAGATTGCAATAAATCGATCCCTTCTCATAGAATTGTAAACAAATTCATTGCGCAAATCCCCTTGTGAGTCCCAATAATTTCTTTTTGAAGGTACAGTATTATAACCAGACAAAATTAGTATCGCTAAAAAAACTTGATTCTCTTCAGGGGTCACATTGAAATCTGAACAATTTTTTGAAGCAGCATATTTATTACTTTCTTCACAAAAAAGTCTCAAAACGTTGTCGTCTATAATCAAGCGAAATATATCATATGGACTTAAATCTTTGTATTTTGTATAAGAAGGAGAAGGAAAATCTAACATGGGCGGTACTATATCACTTGCTATCCATTCAGTCTCTAGATAAGCTTTCTTGGCCGATTTTTTGATAGAATTCTCTATGGTTTCAGCTACTTGCTGTTCATCCACCTCATATTCTAACGGATCCTGACTCTCATTATATGAATTCATCACAACTTCTGCACCTGCACGTAATTGTCTACCGGTTAGGTTATCAACTAGTCCTCCTTCCTCATCACCAGAGTCCTCGTCAGTTAGTACATTTGGATCTGGAGGCTCTATAAATATTTCATTTAAATTTTGATCGTCGTCGTTTTCAACCATAGCTAATGCTTCTTCCAAAGTAATGCCACTAAAACAATAAAAAATGTTGATATTATAACATTTCCAGACAAAACAAAAATATTACCCACTGCCCACATTCACGCCTAGCGTGTTCATATGATCACATCCCTAATAAATGTGTAATTATGAAATACTAAATTACCATTTCGAAGTGTGAATCATTTTAAGATAAAATTTAACTTACTTCTATAACATATTATGCCCCAAATCAAATTTTAAATAATTTGTTATATAAATACAATACTTACACACATCGGATGTACGGATTTGCCATTTTCAAACTGCTAACCAGCAAATTGGTCACTACAAATACTTCTAATAACAATTAAATGCACCTCGCACTGTTTATTATTTTAAACTAAGGCATAAGCAACACAGTAGCCTTGAGCCGACGTTAAAATTATCACAGTGTTGCCAAACAAATAATAAAATCTTGAGTCTTGTTATGTGTGATCATATGATCACGCTAGGCGCTAATGGGTTAATAAACGAATAGCAGAACATAAAAGGGCTTTAAATAATAGAAAAACAGATTCTATATACGCGCTTCACCTTCTAGATCATAATCATTATTTTAATAACGAATTTCAAATTCTTCACATTCAAAATAAAGGCCTTAAGCTATCTTTGTCGGAATCTATGGAAATTAACAAATTAAAAAACACAGACATAATTCTGAATGACCAACTTGAGACATAACAGTTCTCCCCTCCTCAACCTATTAAAGACTATAAAGTGTAAACGCATACCAAAAATAGATCACTTGAGAAAAGCACCCTGCCGAAACAGCTGTAGTGATAAGATTTTATATCTTATTACTACAGCTGTAGTGATAAACGATCTCTCGTTTAATTTTGAAAACAAAAGGTTCAGTGTTTTATTGTTACATGAAACAAATTTCCATCAAGTAACGGTCGAATCCATCAATTATACAATAGAAGCGTTCGTGATATGGGTTATCGTAGATTTATGAAAGTAACTTGGAAAGCAAGAATGTAAAATAATGAAGTTTTATAGTGAATAAATAAACAATAATGTATATAAACAAGCAGGCTTTTTTCTTTATTTTGATATACGTTAACCTTGAGTTTTATTGTGTTTAAAATTTTTAATCCATTCACTGAGTCGTGAATTTGCACTGAGTCCTTGGCGTGTGGCATGAAAAACGTGAATTCGCGTCCTTAACGTATCATTATAATTTGATGACAATTTAAATTACCATTAAATTTAGAGAAATAAAAAATATTAATTTTTGACTTTAAATTACAGTGTTGTACTGCTAAATTGCATAAAATAACAAAAAATATATATAAACTTTCAAAGATAAAAAACCTATAAGCTTAAGTAAAAATACAAAAAAATGCATTATCTATCATTATCGTTCAATATCATTCTTTAGATTTAAGGGAATTGGTTTACCAGTGAAGCCAATTTGTTGTAAATGTCCATCACCTGTTCAATGCCAAATTTTAGAATTTTAGTTTTCAGCGATTGTAAAATCTTGATCTGAAGACGTTTTATTTTTTTTGTGTCGTCAAATATTAATTCATCATCTTGAAATTTATAATCGGAATCTAATTCCTTAAAAAACAGCAAGTCCATGGCCTCTTCTTCTGCCTCAGTCGCCACTCATTTCTTTTTACCTAAACCTATCTATAGTTGAGCTGCTATCAACAAGTCCTCGTAGATACTTTGTCTCAGGACCAAGTAACTTCATGTAGAGTCGTACGTTGCCATGTTACTAATTCCACTGGTATCTTAAACATCTCAACTTTTAAGAACATATAATGTAATAGAAATTTAAACTCTCAATTTCTGGGCTCTTTTCCCAATCAAATTGTTCCTGATGCTGTGCATTCTAGTCTTACCCAAGATCCTTCGTAAAATTTTCATTTCAGCTACTTTTACTGAATATTCTGTACAGGCCACAGTACACCGACGCAAGTTTGACCCTAATCCATTAAAAAGTTGTAAGTATACAGTTGTCTGAAGTAATACGCTGACTGATCCGCCACTTTTGGCAGTACTAGGTTTTTTGAAAATAATAACTGAAAATAATAACATTTTCGTCTATTTCTTTAGGATATCTGTCAAAAGCTTGTTAAAAAATTATATCTAATTTATATTGGAATCAAACTGCCAAGGTAAGAGTTGACAGTCAGTACACCCAAAATATCAAAATACAGAGAGGAGTCCGCCAGGGTTGCGTGCTGTCCATACTACTTTTCAATGTATACAGTGAAGCGGTATTTTAAGAAGCGC